ATATATATATATATAAAATTAGTTTTAATGTTATACTTTAATGTTATAGAAAGAAGAAATAGCCAAGCAGTTTATGCTGCCAGAAAGAAAGAGCAAGATCGCAACGTTATTGAAACAAGATGGTCAAGCGTATTGTATTTGTAGAAGCTCGGATAGTTCTCGTTTTATGATGTAAGTAAACTTTTTGAAACGCTGGTATTTAAAATTATTGTCATTAAAAATTTTTCTATCATGAGAGAATCATGATTCTTATTTACATTTTAAATTGTTTCAGAGGATGTGACGCATGCGAGGAGTGGTACCATGGTGATTGCATAAACATAACTGAAAAAGATGCAAAACATATTAAACAATTTTTCTGTGTTGTAAGCAAGTTTTTTGATATTTCTGGTCAAAATATAATATAAAAAATAAATTAATATAATTAATTATCATTACACAGCGTTGTAGAGAAGAAGATTCAACTTTGATAACACGATACAAACCACGTAAAACTGATCAAGATGACAGAAAACATAAAAAATATAAGGAGAAGGAAGGAGGACATCGATATGAGTATGATGCGCCTTGGGATCCTAGAGTAGAGAAAAAATCCTCCAAGCGTTGCGGGGAATGTACAGGATGTCTACGTACGGAAAATTGTGGGAAATGTGATGCCTGCAGGTGAACTAAAATGAAGAAATAAGTGTGAAACATTATTTATACGATGCAATTTTACTTATGGAATTTACTTGTTGAATTTTACATGTGTATAGACATTTGAAGAAACATGGGCCTTCGGTGCGATTAAAGCTCAGATGTATCCAACGAACCTGCCGTGTACTGGGAGATCCACTGAAACCTTCCAAAAGTTTCAACAAGGGAACGAAATTGACCAAGAAGCGAAAGAGAGATTCGAGTAATGAAAGAAATGAATATTTAGAGCCACCGCGTCATTGCTACGGACCTGCATGTACGAAACAATCGCGGCCCGGTAGCAAATACTGCTCCGACGACTGTGGCTTAAAATTAGCGACGAGCAGGATCTATCAGGTGCTACCGCAGCGGATACAGGAATGGTCGCTGACTGCATGCATTGCGGAGCAAAATAATAGACGCGCTCTGGAATCCGTGAGGAAGCAGCAACATGATGTTCGTAGAATACTTCAGGAGCTGGAAAAGAGACACGTTGAATTAGATCGTATCGTTGAACGTGCAAAACACGCGACTATCGATCCGCAAGCCGAGGTTGACGACAACGACGATACGGAAAGTAGCATGTACTGTATCACGTGCGGCCACGAAGTCCATTCGAGAACCGCCGTTAAACATATGGAAAAATGTTTCAATAAGGTAATATATAAAATAATAATATATATATTACAGAAAACATCTACACATAGTTATCACTTTAATTTAAGAGCTTTTAATTAAAGTTATAGTTATAGATTAAACATATTTTTATAAAACAAGCTATAGTCATATGAACAAACATCTAATCTATCAATCTATTTTTTAATAAGTCACATATGGTTCATTCTATGAAATGATTTTTAATTTCTTTTGAAATAAAAATTAATGCTCTTACTTATATAATCTTGCAGTACGAATCGCAAGCATCTTTCGGCTCAATTTTCAAGACGCGTATCGAGGGCCAAGTGATGTTCTGCGACTTTTACAATCCTGTGAATAGAACCTATTGCAAAAGATTACGTGTTCTCTGCCCAGAGCATTGCAAAGATCCCAAGATTGGCGACAGTGAGGTGTGCGGTTGTCCGTTAGTTACGAACGTGTTCAACGTTACGGGTGAGTTTTGTCGCGCGCCTAAGAAGAGCTGCGTGAAGCATTACATGTGGGAAAAATTGCGACGTGCGGAGATCGATATGGAGAGAGTGAGGCAGTGGCTGAAGATTGACGAACTCGTAGAACAGGAAAGGCAAATACGATCGAATATGGCGACACGGGCCGGTGTATTAGCTCTAATGTTGCACTCTACTTACAATCACGAGTTAATGGAACAGATGACGCAGGAACAGAGCAGGGAACAATTACAGGCGATGGAGGAGGAGCTACAGAGAAGATATGGTTTACATCAAAAGGAATAATGTATGGAGCAGTGATAGCTTCTCCCTACTTCATATTCTTCACGACTGCAATATTATACATTTTAAACCAATTTTATATATAAGAAAATGACCATGATACGCATATATAGTGTATATATATATATACACATACACTCGTAAAGGAAGGAGGACATCGATATGAGTATGATGCGCCTTGGGATCCTAGAGTAGAGAAAAAATCCTCCAAGCGTTGCGGGGAATGTACAGGATGTCTACGTACGGAAAATTGTGGGAAATGTGATGCCTGCAGGTGAACTAAAATGAAGAAATAAGTGTGAAACATTATTTATACGATGCAATTTTACTTATGGAATTTACTTGTTGAATTTTACATGTGTATAGACATTTGAAGAAACATGGGCCTTCGGTGCGATTAAAGCTCAGATGTATCCAACGAACCTGCCGTGTACTGGGAGATCCACTGAAACCTTCCAAAAGTTTCAACAAGGGAACGAAATTGACCAAGAAGCGAAAGAGAGATTCGAGTAATGAAAGAAATGAATATTTAGAGCCACCGCGTCATTGCTACGGACCTGCATGTACGAAACAATCGCGGCCCGGTAGCAAATACTGCTCCGACGACTGTGGCTTAAAATTAGCGACGAGCAGGATCTATCAGGTGCTACCGCAGCGGATACAGGAATGGTCGCTGACTGCATGCATTGCGGAGCAAAATAATAGACGCGCTCTGGAATCCGTGAGGAAGCAGCAACATGATGTTCGTAGAATACTTCAGGAGCTGGAAAAGAGACACGTTGAATTAGATCGTATCGTTGAACGTGCAAAACACGCGACTATCGATCCGCAAGCCGAGGTTGACGACAACGACGATACGGAAAGTAGCATGTACTGTATCACGTGCGGCCACGAAGTCCATTCGAGAACCGCCGTTAAACATATGGAAAAATGTTTCAATAAGGTAATATATAAAATAATAATATATATATTACAGAAAACATCTACACATAGTTATCACTTTAATTTAAGAGCTTTTAATTAAAGTTATAGTTATAGATTAAACATATTTTTATAAAACAAGCTATAGTCATATGAACAAACATCTAATCTATCAATCTATTTTTTAATAAGTCACATATGGTTCATTCTATGAAATGATTTTTAATTTCTTTTGAAATAAAAATTAATGCTCTTACTTATATAATCTTGCAGTACGAATCGCAAGCATCTTTCGGCTCAATTTTCAAGACGCGTATCGAGGGCCAAGTGATGTTCTGCGACTTTTACAATCCTGTGAATAGAACCTATTGCAAAAGATTACGTGTTCTCTGCCCAGAGCATTGCAAAGATCCCAAGATTGGCGACAGTGAGGTGTGCGGTTGTCCGTTAGTTACGAACGTGTTCAACGTTACGGGTGAGTTTTGTCGCGCGCCTAAGAAGAGCTGCGTGAAGCATTACATGTGGGAAAAATTGCGACGTGCGGAGATCGATATGGAGAGAGTGAGGCAGTGGCTGAAGATTGACGAACTCGTAGAACAGGAAAGGCAAATACGATCGAATATGGCGACACGGGCCGGTGTATTAGCTCTAATGTTGCACTCTACTTACAATCACGAGTTAATGGAACAGATGACGCAGGAACAGAGCAGGGAACAATTACAGGCGATGGAGGAGGAGCTACAGAGAAGATATGGTTTACATCAAAAGGAATAATGTATGGAGCAGTGATAGCTTCTCCCTACTTCATATTCTTCACGACTGCAATATTATACATTTTAAACCAATTTTATATATAAGAAAATGACCATGATACGCATATATAGTGTATATATATATATACACATACACTCGTAACAATTTTTAATAAATAAAATTGTATGAAACAGCGAACACAAGATAAAGTTGAAAAGTTATAGCAAGTTGATGCAACCGTTATAGGTGTGCACTGTAATGTAATATATATATGTACCTGTTAATAATAAGATTAAGATAATTATGCCAATATTGTACATTTAAATCTCATGTCTGTCGGTTTTTGAAATTTTAGAAATTTTAACAAGTCTACATATTTTAATATGCATGTTTATACCTTTTAAAGAAAATGTCTATTCATATGTCGGAAGAGAGAAATATCTCTTGATTCATTTATATATAAAATGAAGAATGTTTCTAAATGATGGTTTGCAATAGATGGAGAACTAGTTTTTCTTTTTGGTAATATCGTTATTATTTACATTATGGTATATCGAGAGACGTAGACGTTAGGATCTTTTTTTTTTCACACACTCCGACAATTAATCGTTTCAACAAAAATCATTTATTCACAGATCGTAGCCTCTGCGGATGCAAAATAACACGCCAAACTAGCGATCTATCGCTTAGCTTCGGAAAATAATCGCGCAAAGCGCATAAAATGGACATTGATCCTCTCAGGAGAATCGCCTGTTTCGATTAGTTTTCTTAAACGCATTAGTGATGCGCAATATCTATCGAAATCTTTTGTTATTTCGACAATACATTTTTACTCTAAGATTATTATTATATTATTATAATCACATAGAGAAATAATAATTCTTGGAAGTTTATGTAAAATGTTGCAGTAGCAATAATAAAAGATTATCTTTCTTTTATTTATAGAAGAATTGAGAGATTATGTAATTTATATCTATGCAAAAATTAGGAACAAATATATCAAATGGCAATATATTAAGCAAATGCATTTGATGTTCGTGCAAATTAAGCGATTGTATGACATCAACTTCAAAGTATTTAATTATAAAATATATTATAATAAAATAAGATATATTATAATAAAATTGTAGTAAAGTATTTCATTTACGTGATTATGATTGAGATATTTGCATAACAATATTATTATGACAGTATTTACATAACAAAATCGTGCAAGTGATCTCAATTATATGTTGCAGAACAAAATGGATACGCCACGATAAATCGAGGCCTATTGTGAGTTTATATTTTGCAAGATTCAATTGTGCCAAATCAAATAAAATTATGCAATTCGCTTCAAGGTATCGGTCAAAACAGGCGATTCACATGTGCTCGTATATATGTACACGTATATGTACGTGATATACGCTTATTAAAGAAAAAGGATGACGAAATAGAACGACTCATTTATCACAGTATTGCATGCAAAGCATGTACGAAATCGCAAGTAAGTTAGCATAAAGGCCAAATGGCGACACTACACGCTTTCCTCTCAGAATATATCCAGGGAAATTAGAATTTCTTTTTTCCGTAAAAGTAACGAAATATTCATCTGTTCCCTCGTCCTTCCTTCCCTTCTCTCTCTCTCTTTCTCACACACATTCTCACTTATACAATTCGACATATTCTTTTTACATTCCATGGCAAGGACTTCGAATGACCTTTACATCCATGGTTCATGATAACTTCTACATATATCTGACAATATCATTAGTAACAAAATAATAAGCCATTGTGTATGTGTGAATACATCACCTGAGAATGAATCGTAATATATTTTTCGCTTCCTCCGTAACGTTTTTTGGGTTTTTTCTACTCTTCCTTTTGATGCATAACTTTCCTCTTCTCGTACGATGGAGTGTGTCTTAACAATCTGTCATTTTTACGGATATTATTTAAAAAAGTAAGCAATGTTCAATATTCGAGGAGTTCGCTGTCTTATCCGAATTGACACAGGCTGGATGGTCTCGGCCTCTCGACGACCTAATGTTAACATTTTTTTTTTTCTTAACGAAACATTAATATTTTTATATAAGCTTCAAAAGAAGAGATTGAACCTCTCCGGCTAGTTCTGTGAATGCTTAATACATACAGAGAAACTTATTCTTTAATTGACGCGACCGATTAAGATAAATAATTGACATTTAAAGCTTCTCAAAATTTTTAATTCTGGGAAATCCAGTAGAAAAAAAAATAAATACGATCATTCTCATGCAAAATCAATAGAATAAAAACGAGATAAATGAGACAATTATTAGATATAACTAAAGAAATCTTAGTTATATCTTAAAAAAGAAACAGAAAAATATCTAAACGATCTCTTTTTTTTTCTTTCTCTTTTTGTTTTTTTGTTTTTTTTTTTTTCGAAGACAACGAACGTTATAAGATGGTTTTTATTTACCATCTTGACAAATTTCGCCGCGTTAGATACGATTAAGCAGTCATCAGAAATATCACTGCTTATCGTACTTTACATTCGCAAGAGGGAACTTTGGCAACAAACACACTCGCATAAAGTTCTGTAGCTGAACAGCACAGCCTTTTTCACGCGCACACAAATTGTAGCTTCAATATACATATGGTTCTTTCTCTCTCTCTCTCTCTCTCTTGCTCTCGTTTAATGTTTCTCATTAATATAATAGCGGCACACGTTAATAATAATTTTAATTGGATTTTTTTTTTTGTAGCATTGATGTTATAATAATACAATATTATGTATATGTATATATCATACAATACCGTATGTACAGTGTGAGAGAAGAATCGTTTTATATCGAATAACAAAATGTACAGCGATACGAGGTAACATCGAGGTCGTCGTCGTCGAATCGTCTTCTTCGATATTTTTACTCCTCGTTTTGTTTCACATCTTCCAGGTAGTCGAAATAATCGATATCAATATCTGAGGCAACAAATCTCGCAAAAACATTAATTTTTATGCACATTTACGTGAACGGCTGACAATCGATGCTCAATGCCGACAATCGGAAATAGAATAAAATAAAAGAAAAAAGAAAAGAACAGCAAAATCAATGCAAGAGCATCCAAAAGCAGGGGGAGAGATAAGGTGCAATACTAACGTACTCATAATTCGAGTGTTTTTATCAGAGAATACTTATAAACAAGTTTCGCTACTATGGCATTCCTAAATAGATTGCAATTGAAATAAATATATATGCAGATCGATATGAAAGAAAATAAACATATATTTATTTCTCTTCTCATAAACGCTTATAAACGAAAACAGAGGGGGAGGGGGCACATAGATTTTATATATATAATGTAATTTCGTTTCCTTGTCATCTATTTCAAGTTCTGTTACTCTCAAGTTCGTTACCGCGATTCTGATTTATATGTCGTTTAAAGAAACGAAAGTCGGTCCGCAACGATGTTCACGTGTGCTTCTCGTATGTCCATCGAATGAAAAAATGTGAAGTAATTATATATTTTACATGTGTGCGACACGGGTTAGCATGTAGCTGCCTCCTCACACTCGTTATGTACATACACTGTTAAATGGTCCTATTTTCTTTCTTTTTTTTCCTTTGTTTAATTTTTCTCCACAAGTACATTTGCACTAGTCTTTGCGAACTCTTATCACTTAGCCATTTGAACCGGTCAATGGCACAGGCTGAGACTGCATCCTGTTACTTTAAGGCGGAGTGGAGCACCTAACTTTTTGAATGTAGTTTTCACATATCGGATTAAAATAGCTCAAAAAAAAGTATCATCTGTTCTCAGAAGCAACGCAAATTCTTCGATGATTCAGTCAAACTAATATCGCAAAATACAATCGTCATAGCGTATCGTCGAGTTTCGTGTAAAAAATAAAAAGAAGAAAAGAAATAGACACAGTCAGTATATCAATCTGTTGAAACATCACATGTGAGGAAAGAGCACAGAAGAGCATATAGAAAAATTAAAAGAGGATCTATCGAAGAAATAGTTGTTACAACTTTTTTGGAATGTTAACTTCGTTATTGATAACGAGGCTAAATATGAAACCTCTTGGGGGAAGGGCGCAGGGAAAGGGAAGAAAACTAAAAGCTTGAGTATGTGTAAATGTATAGTACAATCAATAACTTTCAAAGATTTGTAAAGCAAGAAATTGAGCTTTAAAAAAATAAAAGAAAAAAAGACACTTAGAAGAAAGAAGATATTTTGTCATGTCCAGATATTTTAGCTGTGATTATATGATTATACTTTTTCCGAGTTACTACTCCGATATGCATTCCATAATGCTTATGTTGTATAATTAGATATTTCTCAATCTCTCTCGCATATCTCGAGAAAGCTGTACCTCCAGTTGGACTATTTCCTATATACTGGACAAAAAATGAAAATTATTAACAGAGCACAATATCTTTTTTTCGTTTTTACACAATTTTGATATCTTCGGAAAGAAAAAACGATATATAACAAACTCTCTTTTTACCCCAATTCTAATTCATTAATAATAATTAACTCGCATTATATAATACTACATACATTACACTTTCATGCCCTTTCATATATACGAAACTTATCCATGATAATTTATTTTATCATTACCTATATAAAGGCGATAAGTTTCCATGACCACTCATTCGTGAATGAGACTGCTGTACGAACATTATTATTCTCATGTAGAATGACATGTTTCGTGATAACGCGAGAAGTTTTTATTTCTCTCAAGGTAAAATGTACACGTTCTCACACTCTCCTGCTTCAGTGATAAGAAGCAATATGAAACGAGTTTAGAACTGTAATTAAAGTTAGTTTATAAACGCAAAGAGGGATCAACACTAATATTTAACCCGTTTAGTATTTGGGACACAATATGCGCGCGGACCGTAATTATCCTGAGGTTACAGAATTCATAGACTTACATTTAAAAACGTGTATTACAGTAGTTAAAAGCAGAGCATTATATATTATGCTTCATATTTCTCTTAGGCTCAGTTTCTTAGGCATTTACAGGCATACAGAAATTTAAAAAGTATGGCTTATATATATTTTTCTCTCTCTTTCTATCTGTGTTAATTTGAAAGAGATGAGATTCCTCTTACTATTATATATTATGTATACATATACACCATACTATGTCAGCGTATATATTCCTACTTACATACGCTTTATCGAAACGATAACAATCATGTTTCTTTTTACGCCTGTAAATAATGCCTCGAAAAAAAAAAAAAAATGCAAAAATCCATGTTCCGAGAACATTGATGGAACATTATCATTTGTAAGATATATCCAATAAGAAAAAACGAAAACTTAGGAACTAGGAACGTACCTCGCAAATAGAATTTATAAAACTCGAGTTACTTAATGAGCAAATAATATATGTGCACATGGATTATCTTTGTGCACTTCTGAGGCTACTCTGCAATCTAGTCGTAGATTACACATTATATAGCAGAATCAAGATTGAATAAAATTCAACTTTTTGTCCTCTAACATCTGACAACTGCGACACGCATCTGTTTATATATGGGCTTTTATGCATCAAAAATTATATCAATAAACTGTTCATTTTTTTTTTTTTTTTTTACAAAATCTGGAATAAAGGATTATATAACATTGTAGACGATAGACAAGTAAGCGAGGCAGTAGATATTGTCAGTGATTCGTAAATGTAATAAAGTCTATTGAACGAATAATATTATAGTATAAGAATATTATAGCATATTCACATGAAATGCAATTAATTTGGAATAACTTTTGTTTAGAATCCCTGGAAAAGTTCAGAGATATTTCAACGTGTATATAATGATTATATGATCGAACAGCAATCTCATTTCTATAATTACCCGATAAAATCTATACGAAATCTACATGAATTATACACACACATACAAATTCATTCACATCATCGTATTTTTACTGATCACAAGCAAGTATCTTCTTATATTATCATTATGAATATAATTATCAGTTATTTATTAAATAAGCAAGTCTGTGTAAAAATTTATTTTGCGACACATTCGGCATTCTATCTTCACAGACATTTGACCAGATTTTGAGCGCACTTTGACATTTTCAAAACCCAGTTAGTGACTTTTTTTTATTTTATACTATCGAGTGCTCCATAGCTGGAAGAAGTAGCCACTCTGAGTTTTAACTCAACCACACTATCATCTCAATATATTACATAACTGCACATTTACATTTCTCCGATATAGTCCACATGTCTTAATTTGTATTATCAAGTAAAATACCCGATATCTCTTTATATTTTAACCTGTAATATTTCGACTCACCAACTGGTTCATAATCTTCCACAATGACAATTAAGATTGTTCCAGCTCAAGAGTTCAAAATCTTATTATAGATGTTTTATGATACTCTTGGCAAATTTCTCGATTTAATGCGTGATTAGAGTACACACATCTGGCTTCGTCAATTTTGTTCTCCGTTGATTCGCCTAAAGATTCACAAGTCCAAAGGCACCAGGAAACACCATTTTTTGATGTGTGAGGTTTTCTTCTTCACAGACCTGCTTCATGGTAGACCTGGTTATTACAAGTTCGTATTTCTTTGTAATGTTTCCTTTAAGCACTTTTTGAAAATTTACACTCTCATAAACAAAGTTTAAAGACAATCTTTGAAAATTTATAGAGATATCTATAATGTATTTACACGCGTGATTCGTACACTGGAAGTTCCCTTTAATCAAAGAAACAATATATATATATATATATATATATGTAATTCTCGAGAGATAACCCTCACATTTCCCGATCAAACGTTCTTAATTGTCAATACTGAAGTTTCGCGACACTGCCATCATTGTTTGAAATTCACACAAATGCAACGTACATTGCTGGAATATACATTTCTTTATCCTTTTCCTTGTCTCCCATTTTTGAAGACCGATTGTATGTACACTGCTATTATTATCTCTTGAGGCACACTTCGTATCGCTCGGTTCCATTAATCTCGCTTTATCAATTCACCAATTCATTTGATTCGAGCAATAAGATAGACGATTCTCCAAGCGAATTTTATGTCCATATTCGAGGGATATGTAACTGTACACACAGTACATACAAGTGCTTGGTCTCATATTATCAACAAAAGACCCAAGATTAAACTAACTAAATGTAATTTGTAATGGGAGTGGTTTACCAATACAAAAGTTATTGTTATTGCCTATTTCCTTTGTTTCAACAACTTTCACTTCATTGTCCACTATAGAACTGTATACGACCGGTTGCAGTCACATTTTCTCTCATGACCGCATCCCATGCTATTAATAAAAACAAAAAAAAAAGACAAAATTAGTAGAAATAAACGTGAAATGACAAGAATAATATAATCGAATAACTTAAATTATGTTACAATACGTCTTACCTAAGCCAACGAAAGACACGATCTTATCGTGGTTGTATGTCTGCACATTTAGCTCTTCCTCGGGTGCTACATAAAGCATAGCGAAGTCTTCTTTCGGCGGATGAAATTTCTCCATGATTCCGGGTGGTGGTGGAGGCGGTGGTGGCAAATACGTAGGCGGTGGAAATCTTGTGTTGGGATAGCCCATGTATGGTAGCGGTTGTACCATGACCGGATGCACAGGCGTCACATGTGCATTTGTCGGTGTTATATGGGCGTTCGGTGATTGCATATGATAATTCGACGAAAACTTGTCGTACCTTGCGGATTTCTCAGTGAACAATGGCGGATTTCTCTCGAAAGTGTTGAGTGACGATTTATTAACGAGCGGCGGTACAGTCGGAGAGAAAGCAGAACTACTCGTCGCGGTTGCCTGAGTCTCCTCGTTGCCATTGTCCTCCGAGAGCAACAATTGTTCGTTTATCTCGAAGCCAAACGTAAGTTCCGTCGGTAGATTATTGTTCTTGGCGATGTCCGAGGTGGTTTCATCCAACAAGATCACCGCCGGTCTAGGAGTTGAATTTTTCGTCTGCTGCATCTCCACCGTCGATGATCTTTGCGGTTGGTCTTTATCAGATTTGATCTTTTTATTCTCCGTATCCTCGCGCTGTTGAGTATCTTGCTTCGGATTTTGCGTCTGACAGATTCCCACTTTCGCTACATCGTGCTTCATCGTAATGTTGTTGTTCGGATATTCTTTCACGATCCTTGCTGTCCTCGGGTCGCTACTGGTCATCTTGTTTTTGTTATTGCTTGGCTCGGACTCGACATCCTGCGACTCTTGCGTAAGTTTCGTAGTTTTCAACTTCTGTGTGTCTGCACTATCGCTATGGGATGCGATTGTTGGATTAGTCCTGATTTCGGACTGCGATGTATCGGTGCTGTGTGATTTTTTAATCGGTTCATCATGATACGGAGGTGCAACCTTTTTAACATATTGTTCTTCGTACAATCCCTGAATTTGTACATTTTGATTACCATGTACATAACTTCTGCGAGAACGAGGATTATTAGTTCTCGAATGTGCCACAGAATCTTTATTGTTGACAGTGCAATTGGGATTATTATCGGCATCGAGTGGATTATAATTCATCGTTGTATTATTATTATTCAATCTTGGCGTTACAGTGTTTGTTGCGATAGTTTCGCTTGTATTCATGTTGTAATTATTCGAAGCCATATGGTGCTTTTGTTCTTGTTGCGTTAGACTCTCCTGCATTTTTTCGATGTCTTGTACATATTTAAACACTTGAATATTCTTATTAATTGCTTCTTCCTGAGCTTCGGCTTTCTTTCTATCTGATAAATTTTTCACTTTTGTCAGTGTCGGCGAAAGCGACTTCTCGAAAGCGAGACTCAAACTCGCCGCTGCATGATTCGATTGGGCAAAGTTTTGTTGTTGTCTCACTTTTCTCTCCGAATGCTGTATCTCGTCCAAACTTGGGTAATAATCCTGCGGTACTTTGTCCGGCTCTGAAGGAGTCTTGGGAGGTACACTGGGCCACGATGCTGTATTCAACATGCCCGGAACGATCGTGGACATGTTCAGATTGTGCGATATAGTGGCCATGCGCGCTATGTCCGCATAACTCGCTTGCGGAGTACCGCCTGATGAGGTCGCGACTTTAGTCAAATTATGCTTTGAGCTATTCGACGTAACCGGCAACGAGTGGACCGAATCTAAGTCGCTGCTATCCGATTTGTCACTGCAACAATTATACATATTCTTTTATTATTATCTTTATATTAATTAGTGTTAGTAATGATATCTCTTTAAATTTTGGGTGTTTAGTCAAATTATATATATATTTACATATTTATAATTATTTATCAAATTACCTAGGAGGCATACTGCTCGCCGATTTTCTTCGCAGCTCGGGAGAGAGCGGTGTCCTATATTCATTGGAGAATCCTCTAGAACTTTGTAGATACGATCCTGACGTCGTCAGATTTTGCGCCCTGCTACCACTGGAGCTTCTCCTCTGTTTCTTGCTCTTCTTCTTCTTCGTAACTACCAGAAATTCCGCCGTCTCATGTTCCGGTTCTGGATTGATCTTTTTGTTGGAATTACGGCGACTAGTATAATCCTCTCCCGTGTCGTTGCAATATATCGATTGACCCTCCTCTGTCCCCCAAGATCGTCTATCGCCTCGACTATCAACTGTCGCGTCTCCGGTGCTCCTTTGCTTCGGACGTCGCAATGCCACATTGTCACCTATTACATTATAAAGACAATATGATATTAGAAAAGATGTGTAAATAAATGTGAAAGCATATATAAATTTACTAAAAATTTCCAATTTCCATTTATGTAAATATACAATCAATTCTTAGATATAAAATTTATATAAAATATATATAAAAATATGAAATTTATAAAATACATACATTTATATACATATAATCATACCATGTTGGCTGGATACACTACTGGCCCCACTGGAACTAACGCTTTTCTCTGTTGTGAGATCCTCTAATTTTGTCTTTGAAATCTCTTCCAAGGAGTTAGACTTTTGTAACTTTGACGGTAACTGTTCTCTCTTTGTATCTTTCTCTCTAGTTCTCGGTTTTGTACCAGAGCTGGCTTTCACCCTAACAGGATTACTAGTCTTTCCTTTTTTGCTTTTGGATTCTTTATTCTCAATAAAGTTAATTAAGCTGTCAATATCCTCATTACGATGACCCTCGACATTTTCAGCATTGTAAACTTTGACATTATGTTCCTGAGTATGTTTCCTTCTAAGTTTCTTTGCAAAACGATCATTGTAGGATTGTACAGCGTTTCCGTTTTCGTCCAACGATTTCTTTTCTCCCGACACGGATGGATCTTTCATCGTGATGTGCTGTGCCGTATACCTGGGACCTTCTGCGCACAATTGACCTGCTTCAGTTTACAATAAATATAAATAGAATAAATAAAAAAATTAAAAATCACAGATTCAAAAATAAACGTCATTTTTTTTTTTAAATTTAAATTAGCATCATCGAATCAGCAGCAGCTATCAAACACTTGGTGTTTGTGCAATATAGAGTGCTTAAACTTTATTATTAATAACAGCTATATTATTAATTGCAAAATTTGCTTCCCATAGTGAAATTAGTTTAAATGTTCAATTGCAGATTCTTCTGTCGCTAATTGAATAAAACTTCTTTATAGAATATTTGACACAATACTAATTCAGTAATTAATAACCTTGTAATATATTGCATAAACATCAGTAATGGCTAATACTTACAATAAATAACTCTGTTATTAAGTTTATGAATTATAGAAAACGCGCATACACATTTTAATATATTTCTACAAAATAAACTTTCAAAAGTTTATTAAATATTGTGTACAGTATATATGTATATATATAAATCTTACCCAGCGTTAAATTCTGTGCTTGCCAAGATGGCATCACAGAGCACAAACTTGGCACAATCTTGCTCTGGCTAGTACTAGAACTGTTTGAAGCTCCTCCTATACTGCATTTTACACTGTTGTGTGGTTGAAACAATGTTCCTGTCACTTCTGTACCATTAACAGACATTTTTGATTTCTCCTGCTTATGATCGCGAATAGGAAATTCTATAGGGCTATCCACATCTAAAGTTGCCCGTGTGACATAATGGATAGGTTTACGTGGTTCAATGATTCTCATCTCAGTTCCTTCGTCATTTTCGGTGTCTAAGGAGCGAGGTCTTTGAATTCCGCTTGCCATAGATCCTACATTTCTCTCACTGATAGCACCTACCTGCAATGGATGAAAAATAAATTGTTATATATAGTTTTTATCTTCTTTGCCAAAATATTTTTTTTTTTTTTTTTTATGCTATATAAAATGATAAAATTTTTCAATGATTAAACTACAGAATTGAGAGGAGAAACTTATCAAAATAATTGTGCCATGCGTGCACAGATACTAATAATATATTACAAATAATACTTTACCTCAACATCGCCTAAATCGATCACCATGTAATCCGACTTATATTCTGGAGGTGGATTATCTGATTCCAGCATTTCATTTGTTCCGTATTTTCCTTTACTAACTTTTTTCTCTCGTGTTTCAAGTTCTATCTCGCTTGAACTAGCAGTGTCCCTTTTCGATTCCTTCTTTTCCTTTTCTTTTTCTTCCTTCTTTGTACTGGTATACGACGGTTTGTCTAGAGACTTGGATTTTTCCTTATTGGTCCAGTCATACACTGACCGTTCCACACAGAAATTCTTCTTCACAAAAATATAAGAAAATGATATATTAATTATTCTTAAAGTTTCACATCAATGCTATATAATTTTATCACATATATTTTAAAAATCTACATTTTATATAATTTATTATTAATAAAAGCATTTATGTTTATAAATATTAAAAAATGGATATTAATATTAATTATAAAAAAAATACCTTTTTATCAAATGATAGATCTAGATTAGCCAAAGAAGCAAGGCTATGCGATGCATCTACATCTGATGGTAATGATCCACCTTCTCTCTGTCTAGCAGAGACACTAGGTCCTATATATTTCTTGTTCTTTTTCCTACTGCTTCCATAAGTATGACATGAACTGGATGTTGGATAAGCAAAGCTACTATCAAATTCTGAAGCAATGGGATGTGCTAAATTTTGCAATGATCCACCATGTGTCAAACGCTCAGATACAGAATCCCGTTTATGTCTTCTTCGATTTGAGCCGGGGAGACAACGGGAATTACATATCACCCTATGTCCTTCTTCGGTCTCATCCGCTTCTGCTTCTTGTAAAAGTTCCTATAAAGAATATGACGTTCCATATATATCTGGTTCCTAACATATTACCGAATTGTTTATATTTGATGTATAGTTTCAAAAGTATATATCTTATCAATATAAAATATATACCTTATCAAATATATATCTCTTATCCCATATATACCTTAAAAAGGTGAGATTTTCCTTCTCGATCTTTGGGGCACTTGTATGTTATAGCTTCATCCAGTAAAGCACGTAATTCGCTATCATTTAATTCGGACAGAGTTGCTGGTTCTTCCTAAAAATAAGAACAATTAAAAAAATTAAGTTGCACATTTATGCGCTATTGCAAGAATTACATTTTTACATTTGTATAAAATTTTTTATCTTGATTTATCAAAGTATAGAAAAAACTATTATCTTAATTTACCAACAAGTATTTTAAAAGACTATTATTAACTAAGAATTTTTTCTTAAATCTTGTTTTTCTTTTTAAGATATAATATAGCATATATAGATGTCTGTGATTTAAATCATTATTTAGAAATCACATTATGAGAAATACATGTTCAAAATTTTATTTACAATGTTTTTCATAAACTGTTATATATTAAAATAACTTTACATTACAATAGGAACTAGTTAACAAGTTGAATAGATAGAGAGGAATATAGATAGATTTTCAGAGTGAATTTAAGGTTTCTCTTATTGGATCTGTTTAAACCTTACAATAATACATGTTGTAAAACGTACAATGTAGAAAAAAAAGTGCATGCATCCCGTGTATGTGTATGCTGCCATTCCTAAAATATTTTGAATAAATATTTAATATAATAAAGCAAATTGATCCACTTTATAATTCTTTACAAAGTTTTGCCTCCGTCAACACATACATGTTAGACGTAATCAATTAATCTGTTATAAATAAGTAGTAAATAAACTAAATTTTTCATATATATGGAATATATACAATATACATACACGATAAAATTATTAGAAATAAAATCAGTTAACATATGCAAATGTCGATCGTGCTCTGATCCAAAGTTTATCAAAGGTATAATTAAACTCGGATGCAAGAAAGCACACGCGCATTAAAACGGCTGCCTTAAAACGTTACATTCGTTGGCGTCAGAAAAGTGTCTAAAAAAAAAAAAAAAAATGGATAAATACATCGGCACCATTGAAAAGAGAATGCGGAAAGGCAGGAAGCAAAGAGCTGTCTCAAGATAACGAGGATTTACAGCGAGTTCGCGCACATTAACGACGTCGGAGACGTCGAGGATCGTCAACGTCAGAGTCCGAATTTCTTATAGGGTGTCATGCGCGAAAAAGACGAGAACAAAGAGATCGCGACAAAGGGAAGCGCACGGCGAACAATTCACTGCGTAAATCGGCGATTGTCGTCTTCGAGAGAACGTTGCAAAAAAAAAATGCGAATAGCCGTCCTCAAGATTGATAGCGCTCTAGCGATTAGCTCAATTAAGACGTAACGAGCGAACGAGACAGAAACACGAAGAGAGGGAGAGAGAGAGAGAGAGAGAGGAAGGGAGATATAAAGAGATATCGGGATGACTTACGAGAAACGGTGGAAAAAAAATCTGCTGGGCAATGCCGGAACGGAATCGCTATATTTTTAGAGGACACACGCACACACACACACACACATACGGGCCGAATCGCCGAGACCCGCAACGTAATCGAAACTCTTCGCTGCCGCTACGCGCTTGCTACTTTTCGACACGCGACAAGAACGGACGAAGAACGTCGTCCATCCCGGGACACGCGTCGCCGGAACCCGGAACACGATACGACGTCCTCGTCGTCGTCGGCGTAAGGCGGAAAAACGTCGACGAGAACGTGTCCCGGTTTTTTTGAAAGCTACTGCGACGAGCGGGCGCGGCGCGCTCTTCCCAGCATGGCCGCCGCCATTACACTGAAAGCACTGCCAGCCCAGGAGCGTATGACGTGGGGGGGTTTCGGGGATCGCGAGGTCTTCCTCGAAATAGCTTTTGTTTCACTCGTTCTTTCTCCCTTTCTTTCTTCGTCGACGATCTGCGACTGTTGCGAATAAGTTGAAAAAAAAAACGCGAAAAAAAAAAAAAAAAAAAAAAAAAAAAAGATTCTGATTTTCTATCTCTATAATATTGATTTTGTTTCGATGAAATCGATTCTCTCTTGATGTCGTAAATACGCGAAAATAAATCTTACGTCGATTGTCACGTCTAATCTCGTGTTGTTGTCGCGTGCGAACGCAAGAATCATTATCGCATTATATTCTTTTGTATGAAGGAACGAAATCTGTTTTGTCACGGATGGAATGGAACGTTCTTGTTTGCGATAATTTACGCGTGCGTATTCGTGGCTTCTGTGTTTGGAATATCGTATGTTATACGATGTTATCTGAAATTGAGAATCAGACGACCGCATTTAGCCTTAAATATGTGGGATATGAGATATACGAGAAGTCTTGTCTTTGTTGAACTCCGTGACAATGCGAGAGGCGCATTTGAAATATGCGTTTCTTCCGGCGGTTTCTAATTGTTTAACGACGTATTGTCACATTCGTAATGCGAACCGCAGTTCAAAGCTTGTTTTTTTTTCTTGGATATTCACAGGATATACAGGGCGACTCGATAAACATGCGCGTCATCGACGTTAGAGAAATGCAGAGTCGTTACACGTCTACACGTATCTCGGATATGTTAATTTGCATTAATAAGATATATTTTATAAAAATAACAGCATAACTTGTTTGGCGATAACATATATCATTTTAAAATTTATCGCCGTGTCGAATGCTTTCATCGGTACTGTTCAATATCAAGCCTGGAAAACAGAAAAAAAAAAAGTCAAATTCCTCGCATGTTTTCTTCGTTATATAACTTCAAAATATTTCATATACACACAAAGATCAGGGATTCAAGGAATTGATAGAATTTCGGTGGATAAAAATTTTGTTTCTTATAAAACTGTATATCCTGTGTAATATCCTATAATTTATAGAAAACTTAGAAAAGTTTCGATCCTTACTAACGATCGCTTCGATGTAGAATTTCTCGCACGGACAAGACATCGCTGGGCGATCGGCCGGTGTCACACTGTATACGGAGTTCCAGTTCTAATCGTCACAAACGTCTCGAGAACGCGTGTTCGCGATATATTATGCCATGTACGTCTGTCAATCGCGCATTCTTCTCAAACGTGTCCCTGGATCTCGCCTAACAACCGCGTTTACACGAGGCCGGTCAAGAGATGCAAGTCAATAAAAATCGCTCGCTCGCTCGCTCACCTCCTCCTCCTCCTCCTCCTGCGAGATAACAAAAATTTACGAGTATCGCTCGATAACAACACTGTTGAGTAACAATAATAAAAATTGAGAATGGTTGGAGGTATTTATATTACTAGTAAAGAGGCAAGTAATAACATTTTTCAATTTGAGGTAATATATGGACCTGAATTATTCGATGTACTATATGTAATAATCAAGCAGCTGTTTAGCGCTTATCTCTCGCGACAAAAATAACGATACGCGAAAGAGAGGAGGAAAGGCTACAAACAAACGAAATAGAAAATTAAAATATAGGCTATTAAAAATAAATAAAATACACAATGAGATTGTGTCTATGTGGTGACTAATAAGCAAAAGAGATGAGCAATTTCGTAGAGGAATATGACTGTGCACTTCTAACTCTGTCGCGTTCTCATTGTCTCAGTTAAAAATAAAATCTACATATAGTGGATAAATATTTAACATCAACAATAAATATCTATTTCTGATATATATGCGAATTGTGCATATCAATATCATGTTGAGAATTGAATCTGCATATTCGTTCCTTGTTTCTCGTGTCTCATTGTGTAATTGCGACCTTTTAATTTACTGCTTGACCACTTTATTGATTTCGTGTAAATTCGGCACAATAACCCTGTGAGAGGTTTGCGAGAGAGATCCTTATTCTTATTACGCAATATTTGTTAAATCAAAGAACGAAATCGGTGCTAAAACGACCTATTTGTTCGCAATCCCGAGTTGCTTAATTACTCGAAAGAAATCGCACGAACTAATCAAACGAACGAAAGGGGATATCGAGAACGTATTTGTACGACGCGTCCTCGCTCTATCGAGGGCCAACACGGCCATTTCAGGAGCGTAACCGAGCGTGCCCTCGAATAACAATTAAGATTTATGAGCTTTTCTGACAAAAAGGATTACTTTGCCTTTCGATTACATTTAGCAAATTTAAAAGTCGTGATAACATATCAATTTTTTCTTATATCAAACGTTTTAAAATGAGAAGAGAGAAATATAAATATACATGAAATTCTTATTTTTAATAAACTGGATTATATCGCAATATTAACATTCTGATATATATTCCATCTTAGAAGAACTAGAAAAACGCTAATATCACAAAAAATAATCCAATTTATTATATGTATTTAGCTATGACGCACAAAAATTAATTGCTTTCAGGAGAAAATTGTAACCCAGTATTATTGTCAGGATTAAATGAATCAATCAAACACCTGACTGGTTTAATAAAAAAACTCACCGCGCGTAATTGCATTTAATTTTGTAATATCTAAAAAATGAGACGGAAAAAGTTTAAGTATGACAAATTATTGCCGAAGCAAAATGCATTATTAGTGTGTTCTAGATTTTTGATTATAATTATTTAAAGACTTCCACGGCATTCTGTGCGCGCGAAAAGAGGGAAAAAAAATCCTTGCGCGTGCGATTTCGATTCCTCGACCAACGATCGTCGCAATGCTCACCTGTTTGCTATCGACGCCGCTATTCGACGGTGAGCTTTGGTTGGCCGAATCGGCGCCAGCGGCAAAATTAGTAGCTGGAGCGATCTCGATGTTTGAACTTTGCTCCACGACAGCGACAGCGGCGACGGAGTCGTTGCTGTTGTTGTTATTGCTGCTACTAGTTGTCGTAGTATCGACGTTCTCCACGTCAACATCGGCGGTAGCGGCTGCGGCACGATCGCCCTCGTCTATTTTGTCAGGAGCTACCGGTTCCTGGCGATGTTCCGGCCCTGGGGCCATGTTGATAGAAATTGACAGCGCGGTATCCGCCGTGCTCATGGCTCCTTCTTCGTCATTTCTTTCTTTTTCTTTCTCTCTCTCTCGTCCCTTCTTTCTCTCTATCTCTCAAGGGCTGTCCAGTCTCAAAAGGACCAAGACTGTCGACGTTCCGTGCCGCATTGAAGACGCTGCACTGACAACTTTCAGTCGAATGAGCGCGAGGACATACTTAGACGAAGAATCCAAATCGGTTGCACCGACGTTTATGCAGGATGTTAAGTTTCAAATAATTCTTGGTCTTCGCTTTTCTGTTTAAATCATAGATTTAATTAGGATCTAGGAAAGCAGATCTCCGTTAATTTAGGATTTGCTAAACGCGCGAGTTATTAATTTGAAATATATAAATATAGAAAAGAACTGTGAGTTGCTAGTTTAAAGATTTAATAGATAATTAATTTAAAATAAGAAGAAAATAAATTGTTCATTTCAGAGATATTAATTTAGGAAGATTTAATGCGTACTTGTACATCGGTGCAACACGATGCGGAATATTTAGGAAAGATTCTCGCACAATTTCAAGCCAAGGAATTGAGGAAAATGATTCCGTTTCTCACCGTTGACAATTAATCGTGAAATTTCTCGCAGAGTCACGTTATTCGCAGATTTTTCTGCTTATCCAGTTGTCATTTACGAAACTTATTACACCGTCTCGTCAACGGATACTCGATGGTACTCGACGATAACGATCTCGGCGAGATTCGGCCGCACAATTTTGAGGTTAGCCTCGACTGGGCTGTCAACTGCTCGGCTGCCCACAGCTGTCTGTCACACGTCACACAGTCGTCGATCGCACAGTCGACGAATTGCCAGAGTCAAGCATAACGTTCGGTATTCTTCGTCACCGACGGAGCGTCGTTCGCAAGATACACCGGATGCTTTACGAGCGCTGGAAATTAATGTTCCTTCGTGAATATGCGAATGCGACCGCGTGAGCGTCTGTCGGGGGACAACTTACGTAAACGCGACTGCTGGCGGTCACATGTCAAATTCGAACGATCTACGCGTCGAGTGCATATATCGGCGCGTTTTTTCCTCTTCTCCCTCTCTCTTTCTTCTCACACGTCGACAAAATCCTCCTGTTCTTAACAGTATGGATTTTCTACGATCGGTGGTCGTGGCTCCTCGGTCGTGTCGCCGTCGCACTTATCGGCGTTTCCTCTCGACGATGGAAAGCCCGGCTGAGCGGCACCATTTCCAAGTACGCACGACGACGCGTTGCGTATGTGCGTACGTGCCCGTTCTCTTCACGGAAGCTTCACTCGCAGCGGGGTATCACGGGGAGGTTGGCGCGGGGCGTCGAGGGAAACGACGACACGAAAAACCGTCCGTTTTTGGCGTTACAACGCGACGATGTTGATAATCGCCGCCGCGCTGCCGTGGCGAGCACTCACAATCAATTCAAAATGGCCGCCGCCAAATGCACGCGTCCGTCTGTCCGTCCGACGAGTCGTCATGGTACACATATCGAGGATAAGTCCATCTGCGAGGAGATCTCGTGGATAAGCTGCACCGCCAGACACAACACACACACACACACACACACGCGCGCGCGCGCGCGTGCGCACACAAAGGCGCGCGTGCGCGAACGCACGCACGCACGCGGTTCGCGGAGACAGTACGCGCGTCTATCGGCCTATTTCCTTTGGCCGCGCGCACAAAAAAGTTTGACAGACGGATTCATCGTCGCCGCCGGCGTCGCGAGCACGACACGACGGACGACGTCTATCACGGCACGAATGCCGTCGGCATAGTAGGTGCCGTTTGTTTCCGAGACAACTGACAATGTCTCAATTTCGCGCGGGGCGTCGCGTAGGCTCGTCGTTGCCGAGATCGGGCGCCGGAATTATCGATCGCGTAACATCACCTGGGACTGGGGGATCGGGGGCTTTTCTTTACTACGACGAAGACGACGAAACTAGAAACTCGCGCGAGGGAAACGGAGCGATCGACGAAAAGGGAGGGTCAAACGTTCGTCGAGAATTCGCGACGGAATTGTCACAAAACCCACCCCGAAACTACGATTTCGCAAACGACAAAGTATATATATGTATGTACGCGGCGCGAAGGCGAAGAGTCCGGTCCAGGACCACTAACATAGGTCCGTCCCCGAGGCTACGAACCTCACCGAGCGTCGCGTTTCCGGCGTGTACGAGACGGCCGCTCGCGCGCGGACGAATATCTCCGGGAAAAGCCGAGGCGGACGCCGCTTCGCGCGGACACTTTCCCGTCGCGACACGATAAGAAGCGGAATCCTCGCTTTTGCGCAGAGGAACGGCGGCGACGGCGGACCAGCCGCTCGGCCTACGAAAATGTCGTCTGGCGTGCAGGCGCGTATCCGCTCCGCCGAGCACCCGGGGGATAGCGCGTTTCCGGTCTCGAAAACAAGGACCAAAATCTAGCTGTCAGATTGATTAAAATTTTGTCAATTTTTTTTTTTTCTTTATTATATTATCGCGGGAAAATCATGTAGCGAACGAACGAATGAATGAAAAAAGAAAAGCGCGATTTAAAGGAACGCCAGAGCGGAAATACACGAAGTATGACCGACTCGTGTTACGGCCATGATTATAAATCGATATATCTCGAAGTTACGCGCTAACCGTCATTCGATGCGGACTTCTCATATCGTCGTTGACAGCCGGATCGACAGAGGGGAGAGGGGAGTATCGTGCGTGCGTGCGTGCGTCCGTAAAGGCGGTCGAGTGATCTGCGAATACGCGAGTCGCTAAGCGTATCTCCTGATAATCCTTGACACGCATTATCTTGTAGATAGATATTTATATTTGTGAACGAGAAAAACTGCGCAGGATACCAGAGCCAAAATGACAGAGTCGGAGAATATTTTCTTGTTCGTGCCCAATATCATCGGTAAATACTTGTCATTTTGTTATTAATATTACGTTTTTACTCTTCAAATAAATATAATGTGTGCTACACGTTGTAACGAATCGCTAGTTTACATTCGTACATGGTTCGATTGGCATACGTCGATGCCCGCCAAGATTCGATTCAACGAAACATAGATTTTTTCAAATATTGGATTTTCTTTTGCCCAATCATCCCGTATAACGTGATTGATTAATCAAATGAAAGTACAAGTGGTGCGAGCATATACGGCGCTTTTAAGGTTGCTTGTATTGATTGATTACAATGCGCTAGTGCTCCATGTAACGTTTATATCAGTCAGCAATAATGAAATTTCTCGCTATGATCTTCTTGAGAAGCCATAGCGTGTTTTGAATTTTTAGATTTCTATATGATTATTTTACTTGATAATTTCTGAGAAATAGAGCCAAAAATCAGAATACATTAAATTTTATGTATGTATTCAACAGGTTTTGGCAGAGTAATTTTGGCGCTAATTTCCTTTTACTTTATGCCTACCAATTATGTTATTGCATCATGGTGTTACGTGGTCAGCTCATTGCTAGATGCGATAGATGGCCATGCGGCAAGATATTACAACCAAAGCACAAAGTTTGGTGCAATCTTGGATCAGCTGACGGATAGAGTTGGCACAATGTGCCTTATAGTCACATTATGCTTATTCTATCCTGCCTATATCTTTTGGTTTCAATTGAGCATGTGTATCGATATAGCCTGTCACTGGATATATTTACACACGTAAGGAATAACATTTAACACATGCAAAGGAGACTGGAAAAAATGTGATGATTACATGTTACTCTCTTGTCAAAATACAATAGGACTCTTTTACAAGGAAAGACCAGTCACAAATTTATCGATATGTCTGAAAATCCAATCATGAGACTGTATTACACAAATCGCATAGTACTATTCTTCATGTGCGCTGGCAACGAAGCATTTTACGCTGGTTTATATCTTTTACACTTTACTGAGGGACCTATCTGTGAGTACCATAAAATTTTATCATTTTCTTTTACAATACAAACATGAGAGAATATTGCATAACATTTTATTTTGCAGTGGCTGGTATTGGTCTGTACAAATTAATTGTGTATCTGAGTGCTCCGGTAGCACTTGTCAAAGCTGCTATTTCTGTATTACATGCATATGTTTCGTGCATCAATCTGAGCATCATTGACGTAAAAGAGCGTCAGGAGCGACTTAAAGCGAATTAAATCTCTTTACGTACATATTACTTACTAGTCAAATTGAATGTGATTTACAGATCTTCCTATTCCATAACATATGTATATGTTTATATATTTCCATATATATTTTTAAAAAATGTTTAAAACTGCATAGCAAAGATCTCTATTTGACTTTAATGATATTTAATGCATAGGAAATATTATATCATGAAATTAGATCAAAAATAATGGCCAATTTCCTTATTCCTATTAAAATATATGTGAAATGTATACTTTTGCAAAAAAAAAAAAAAAAGAAAAGTTATTTTTTAATAATATTACAGCATTTATTATATTAGACCAATGAGCTATTAATGTGTTATTTCCAGGAGCTTTGATACTTTTACTTTTGTTATAGATATTATAAAGTACAATCTATCCATAATCTCTGTGTTTAGTACTTTTCCAATAATGACACAATTTAGAGGACCTAATATATCTTCTCATAATTAATGTATGTAGTAAGATTGCATCATTTTAGGGAATATTGTAGTCAGCAATGTGTTGAATAAAATATAATTTTAAAAATCTCTTTGGATATTTAAGTTTATTATATATAAAAATTATACTTCCATGTACACATCTTTTAAAATTTTAAACCAGATGAATATTAGTTTTGCACAAGGAAAACTCAAACCTAAAAATATAATATCAAGGATAACAAAAATCAGATACAAAGAATATTTCCAGCCTTAATTATTAAATATAAGAAAAGATAAATCATATATAGATAAATCAAATTTGTTGTAAAGAATTATTCATTTTATATTTTACTTATTTCATAACAACATAACAATGACCTTGATTTTATTATGTACATTAATTATGTAAAGGTTAATATATATTATAAGTCTTCTAAATACTGAGAAATTATGAGTATATTAAACTTTATAAATTCTGCAAAGGCAAACATTTGTATAAAAAAATCTTGGTGAAATAGAGAACAATAATTCACTGATCTAGTGTAACAATAAATGCTATAAAGCAGTACATATGAAACGTTGACATAAAAAAAAAATGACGTGCATGATATATCGTAATTGAAGCACTTGTATGTATGTACGAATACCAAAACAACACGTTAATTATAATACGTGACAGGTAGATTCGCACGCGTACGTCAGGCACCGATATCAATGCGAGTGCGTAAAATAGCTGCGAAAGAACAAATTCAACTCCTGCAACGATACGATAACTTGATATAAAATGACAAGAAAAATAACATACTAACCTCAAAGAAGATTCCTCATTCCCCCATCATGACCAGTCATAATTTCGGCGCCATGTTATCACTTCAAACACTCGCGCATGTTGGAAAAGTTGGTGGAAAATTTGTCGTGGATTTTTCTTCTTATCCTTAGGTTACTTCGGAAGATGAATTTCCTGGCGTACGGTCGACGGAAATGCCGTGGGATGATGCCGGTTGTCGTCCCGTTGAGACGCGGTCACGATACGCGCAGCAAAGTTACAATATTTATAAAAACAGATAAGAATTTTCAGCACCGGCACGTACTGAGACGGCGATTCGCAGCAAACACCGGGGCGCCACCGTCGCTGTCAGCAGCCGCGTCGGCGGTTTTCCTGTGATATTTGAACTTGCGGATAAAAACCACATCCTTTATGTAACCGAATAATCAATGTGTGATAGATAGAAAGTAGATGCCTTCGCATAATTATTTCGATACTTCTCTCGCAGATTTAAAGAATATCCGATAATTAATACATAAAACAGCATTACAGAAAAATTTTTTATTTAAATCTATGGTAGAAAATTTCTTACAATATCGAAACACACGAGAGGATCTTTGAATGACTGATTAGAAATATACGTATTAAGGCTCCTTCGTGTGTATCTTTTTTTTTACTTTTTTGTTTTTAATTGAATTTCAAATCGAATGCGAAACTGTATATGCAAATCAAAATATTAGCGAAATTAGTTATGGAATTCCCTCTTCTCGTTCTACAACAATATTTTTATCTAGATTCTCATCGAGATCTGCTCTTGAAGGATATATCAGTTTTTGATTTCCATCGGTATCTTCTACTTTGACTTGTTCAACAGTTATAAAGTTATAACCATGAGTTTCACTCAATTTTGGATTGATGATACCTGAGATTAACAATTCATTCAAGAATTGATCCAATACATTCCTAGAAGAGTTAAAAAAAATATAGCGTGTTATCATAGAATTGATCTCTTACATTTTAAAAATTCAAATATATTTTTACATAAATTTTATATATATAGAATCTTAAATTATAGATAATCTATGTTTTATTTCACCTGCAAATTGTGTATGATGTAGCACTCGTTACCTCCACAAACATTTTTTGAGTGGAAAGAGAGACTTTAGTTATATCACTGTTGATGATAGGTGGAAATGATATAATTTGTCCCGAATGATCCAACAGACACGGAAATAAAGATTTACCTTCCAGCGAATTTAAATATTTATATCTTTCAGGATATACATCTTGTTTTGTTATTTTGCGTACATTTTCAGCTTCTGCTTGCAATTGTTTAAACAGAGTATCTCCTGTGTATATCTTGTTGCGCATAAAAGGTTGAATTTTTAATTCCACAGGTGGCTTTGCCGTATATGTCAGATTCTCTAAAACACAAAAAATATATGTTAGCAAAATATTAATATAAAAAAAATTAATATTTTATATTAAATATTTTTTGATATTTTTTTTACCAGATGCTATGAATTTCATATCATGAGTTGCTATTGTAGCTGCATTTTTATTTTCACATATTCCATTATGTAATCTTGTTTGCAATTGAAGAAACTTTTTGAAACTTATCTCTGTGAAATTTATTTGTTTTACAATACATGCAGCTATGAAAGGTCTGACACCATCTACATATTCTGTAACTTTTATTGCTGTATCATGTATTATTCCTTGAATTAGTAATCGATGTCTTCTTAAATGCATTCGATCAAAACGAGGAAAGAGATTATCCATCTTTAAGTTTATATACTGATGAGCAATTTGTGATTTAGTTTCTGTAACGTTTAATTTCAGATAATCAAATATTTTTTTTGTGTTGCTAACACATTCACATAAGCGCTTTAGGTTGTCATCGGACATTTTATTCAGTTGTACATTCAGCTTCTCTAATTTATCACAATTTGCCAATTCAACTGGTAGATCTGTATTGTAATATAATTACATATTATACTTATTTTCTTACATTTATATAATTTTCAAGATTATTTGTATGCGAATCATTTTCAAACTTAATAATAAGAAAATATACAAGAAATACAACCAAAATATTCAACAATATATTACCTAGAAGTAAATTGCACTCAAGATTTAAGATCTTCAATGCTGGAAGTTGATTTATAGTAATCGGAACTTTCTCTATCTTATTATTATTGACATAAAGTTCCGACAAACATACGAGTTCTGCATAGCAGACGTCGGGAAAGATCTTCAATTTATTGTTTCCAACATTTAACATACTCAATGCGATGTTTGTACGCAATGACAATATAGATTCCAAAAGATTCGAGGAGAGATTCAGCTTCTTCAATTGAAGCAAGTTGCCTAATTCTTGTGGATAAGAGGTCAATTTGTTTTTTGAGCAATCAAACATCTTCAGATTAACTAATCTGCCAATCGAGCTCGGTAATTCGGCGATCTCGTTCGAATGCAATATCAAGGTCGTAAGATTCGTCAATTCCCCAATTTCTTCCGGCACACTCTGAAGACATGTTCGCGTTATGCTCAGAAAATTCAAATGATGAAGATTAAACAAATTCTTGTCCAATCCTGATTTTTTGAACGTTGCGGACACCCCCGAGCCAGTTAATATCAAATGATGATTGTTTTCCAGAGCTGCCTGTTTAAGGGCCACTAACGTCGACTCCTCGATTATTATTGGCTTTGTTGTCATTATTGGAGACACTAATTAATTTTATTCGCGAATTTTACAGCTCAGGCTGTGCGATACAAAATATACCTCGGTGAAGCCCTTTGCCCTTTTAGGTTATATACGTGTATGGGTCACTTTATGTGTGTATGTCGGATTAGAATAAACGAAATGTAAGCCGATATAAACACGCGAGCTTTTTCAAAGAATAAAAAAAATTAGAATAAGTCTTAAAAAAAAAGCAATAATAAACAGAAAAACAAACGATTCCTTTTCAAATCAAAACATCTTTTCAAAGATTTTGACGAGTCACAGAGAGAAAAAGAAAATCCGATTAAATTAATCGGAGTTCGATCAAAGTGAATTTTATTTAAAATATTTTAAAAGATGTTTCATATGTTTCATATAAGAACAGACAAAAGTAAATAGTAAGCGCACGAAATATGCAACAATATGTAAGATAGATTTCAGAAAAATAATCTTTTTTTAAACAAAATGTGTAAATGTCAAGGTTCTGCCAATTTCAAAATTGGAGTTTGAGTCTCGCGGTTAAATCGGGTTCAAGTCTTCGCTAAGCAGAGTTCAAGTATCGGCTAAGCAAGGTTTGAATCTCGGCTAAATAATATTCAAGTCTCGGCTAAATATGGTTCGTGTCTCGGCTAAGCAGAATTCGAGCCACTAACAATAAATGAATTTGAATTTCTACTAACAATAAATGGGGTTTGAATTTTTGTCAAATAGAATTTGAGTTTTTATTAAATAAAATATGAAAACCTTATTAGAAAATTATTCTATGTTAAATAATTAATATTATTTTGTTGTTTTCTTTACTTGACTTTTCTTTTTACCAGAACACTTGACCTGATGCGTAAATGTAAAATGCCAGAAGAAACGAAACGACCTGTATGTAAACGACACGCTAATTAATTTATTTATTTCGACCGAAAATTATCTTACCGTTCGTAATAGAAAAGGGAGAACGACTTCTTGACATTTTGTCTAACATCCTGTTAGATATATTTCAAACTGGTTTTAGATAGCGAAAAGTAGAATTCTTGTAGAGCACCATTCCTTTAATCTCCCTGCTACATATCTGCATGTAATTAAACGCTATAAGACATTGGTAGGTTAATGACAGACAAATAGTCGCTAATGATAAAAAAAAAATGTAAACGGTCCGTGTTGCAAAATTATAAACTGTGTATAAATGCTTATCTAGTACATATATGTATATAATTTTCCCCTCAACTCGCTCATTTTTTGCTGCGCAGATTCTTATGATACACCTTAGAATTAAGTAATATATTTTCTTGATACTTTGTTCGTTATTTCGAGCACGCAAAAAGCCGCATGTAAAAACTTGACGACGTTTTCGCGATATCTCGCATGATCTTATCCAGCGCAAACTAGCGATATTACGATATATGAATGGTATTGAAATCGACGACCTTGGAGATTATATTTCCGTAGTACTGCCGAGGTTCTTCGATGACAAATGTTTGTTCGGTGGAATTTGCATGTGAATGATACGCGCGAGATATTAATCCTGGCTTTATGGAACGAATGTGCTAATATAAGTGCCACTCTCCGATTACGTAGACGTAGACGCTACTTGACGCTTCGGGTGGCAATGTCGACTATCTAAACAAATTCTTCCTTCGGGAGAAGGGAAATGAACGATAATCCATTGTCTCTTTCTGTCTTTTACGCTCTTATAATTTTTTATTGCTTGAAATAAAAATGCGAATGCGATTCGTCTTCCTGAGTCACCGAGATACCGCATTTTAATCTTGTCCATAATTAAAAAATTTATCTTCTGAATTTTTCTAGATCGATTACAAATTAAATATCTCTAAAAATTGGTTTTTTTTTTTTATTCATATAATTACCTTCTTTTTAGCGGGGCAAAGAGCGCATTCTAATCCTGTATCTCATAAATTACAATGTCGGCAATAATTAATAAGGTATTGAAATTGTACGAAAAAGACTTGGACCTTCTCCTAGAATAATCGTCGTGTCAAAAGGATTAATGACTCACATGTTACAACGACCTCGATGGTTCTTGATGTCGCACCTTCGAGGCGGTATCAGAGAGATACCGGGCGCAAATCGGAACTCGCCATCACCCAAAGTCCACGGTTATCAACGGATGGCCCCGATCACTTCCGGAGCCGCTTCCTACGGCGATTTCATCCGCAAGGGTGGGGCACGAATTTCTTCGGCGCGCGTATAAAAACGGCCGGGATACGATATCCGAGTGGATTGTGTCACTGCATTCGCACCTGTCGTTATATTATACGATTGCAAGTGAATCGGTTACCTGATTTAATCGATCATGTCGAGTCGACTGTCAGCCACCCTCGCGTGGACGCTCATCCTCTTGACCATGTCGATCGACGTTGACGCGTGGCCATTGACGTTTCGTCGTCGGGACGTCTTCGACAACGTCGTGGACGGTCCTGACGGATTGATCGCTCATCTCCGAAATTTCGGCAGATCCCTTTACGGGTTCCCTAACAACGAAACCGGACGGAGGGTGGCGCAGTGGCATAAGGATATGGACGTGAATCCCGAAGAGTTGGGCGAATATGTGGAAGGAGACATCCTATTTCCGCCGATCACCGGAAGAAACGGTCTCGCTGCGGTCTCCGCTCGATGGCCCAATGGCATTATTCCCTTTGTCATCAGTCCTTATTTCAGTGAGTAGAAGAGAGTTATCGATTCTTTTAACATTCCATGATATAAAACTCAGTATTTTTTATATTATAAAGAGAAAGATTTATGTGATATTAAAATAATAATGCTTTATTAACTAAAGATTTATATATATATATATATATATAAATTTGATATTTCGACATTCACATCTGAATATCTGCTAAAGACTATCTTTTTTACTGCCCACAAGTAATTTGCTTATTTTTCTCGTTTTTTTTTTTTTCATGAAACTTACGTCGCACAGATGCACAGCAGCAAAAAGCCATATACGATGCAATGGACGATTATCACAAGTACACATGTATCAGATTCAAGCCGTATACGGGCGAGGAAAACGATTACATCAGAATTACGGCCGGCAACAGCGGATGCTGGAGCAGCGTGGGCAGGATTGGTGGCCGTCAGGACGTGAATCTTCAGGTTCCCGGTTGTCTGACGCAAAAGGGCACCGTGATACATGAATTAATGCACGCTGTCGGCTTTTTGCACGAACACAGCAGATATGAGCGAGATGACTATGTGGACATTCTGTGGCAGAATATTTCGCCAGGTATAAATTTTTGTGTTTTATTTAGACGCAACAAAGTTATCTGAAAAATATTATAATTTTTTAAACCAATTTCTTTCATAAAAAAAAAAATTAAAGATTCCACGAATCAATTTTTTAAAATTTATATAATATTTTTTATCGAAACCTAATTTATACATCGATGCTACAACTGACTCTAAAGTTATCGTCTATCTTATATCTTTATCATGTGCATTATGTATCTAGGTCACACGCATAATTTCAATAAGGCCCCGGCGGAGGTTACTAACGCTTTCGGTGTCGGTTACGATTATAGCAGCGTGATGCACTATTCGTCGACAGCCTTCTCCAAGAATAATCAATTAAAAACCATCGTGCCCAAAGTAAGGATGATCTACATATAATATATCATTGTTATAATAAGTGTTCTCGTCTCTTTGTCTCGCTTTTCAGTCACGTTATTATCGATTGATAAAAAAAAAAAAAAAACGCGCACATTTTGCGAATCACGCGAGTTGCATTGATTGTACATGTGTATGTCTATGCATATATGTTTGTGCATGTCCATAGAATCTACCAAACGGTGGCATTTTGGATCTTATTGGCGGAATCTTTCAGAGTAATACCAGAGAGAAACTCGGTCAAAGGGAAGGTTTCAGTAAGAAGGACATTCTGAAGATCCGGAGAATGTACAAATGCGGTAGTAAAAGCGATGACTTTTATAATACTTTTGTCAAAGATTATTAGGGCGTCTTTAATATAATATTTAGAGAGACGCCTAAAAACGTTGCAGTCATTAACAAAAAATTTCTAATTATAAATAGTTAAGAATATTTGCATAAAAAGAAAAGAAAAAAAAAAACATCTAGTCTTACGTATAAAATACGCAATTTCCTAAAAAGAGAGATATCGATAAATGTATGTGTGCGTGTAATCAGTATTATTTGTTAATGTAGTCATTAGCATAAATTATAATATTACGAATGTATCCACATTCTCTTTAAGAGTTACATATTATATAATATCTATATGATTATCACATAAATGCATTACTTGTAACATATATCCAAAGTTTTCCAATCCCATTTTTGTTGTCGACTTTCTTGATCAAATATCGATCAAAGATTCAAGTTTCATAAAAGCGAGACTGAAAATTTCAAGTTGGAAATTTTTATTCGATAAGGAGAAACATGTTAGGACGTATCTCAAGTTGACGATACATATTTCGAAAGACATGAGATAAAATAATTTCGCGATAAAATATTCTTTATTTGTACATTATTTTACGGAGTGATTCGTAAAAGAATACACTGCGGTAATGTACTATTTACAGTCACGAGGTCGCTTATTCTATCTATTGTCGGTGGAAATGCAGAGGAAATTTGCAATCAAAATGGTCTACTTATTAAAAGTTATCGCGATTAATGAATCTATTTGGTACGGAGATACACATAATCTTCAGTAAAAAACTTACCATAAAACAAACTTAAACGTACGGTATACCAAATTAGTGTAGAATCAAATCTTTGTCAAAAATAGAATAAAATCTTACAAATCCTATCATATAACTACGAAAAGCTGTAACATTTCTTCTCATCGGCAAAATAATTTTATACTAAAAAATTATCGTTCTGACAGATTGTTTAACATATAACTTACAAAAATAGCAAGATTCTATTAATCAATTGTCGAAATTTCACAAGATCGCCTGAAAAATATGTGAATCTATATTTGAAGCGTATGTTATTTTCATCTACAACGGGAGATTCGAAGAATGCAAAAAACCAAAAGAGAGTAAAACACGAATAAAAAACATCTGAAAGTTGGGATGTTTTTTAAACTTCTTTACAATCTCGTTAAATTATTTGTGTTGTCTGGAACACGATATTTTGCAAAATGGTAAGAATCATTCGATTAAATCGGCTCAAATCAATCGATCCAAGTTTTCTTGATAAAGTCTGCCGCTCTTTCACCTGTAACATGTATTTATTTCTAGATGCACAAAGAGAAAGAGAATAGAAAATTAAAAAAAGAAAAGAAGAAAAGAGTTACATACCGATCATAATCGCCGGCGCGTTTGTGTTGCCGGACGTCACCTTCGGCATAATACTCGTATCAGCCACCCTCACCCCTCGTACCCCTCTGACACGTAACTGATTATCGACCACGGCGAGAGGATCGTCCGGTGGTCCCATCTTGCAGGATCCCGCTTGATGATTTTCAGGCGCAGTATCATGACGAATCGCGCATTCCCAGTAAGCGTCGCAGCCAAACTTAAGATGTTCGCAATTCTGCACGGGAGTTCGATCCAGCTCGAAACCGTATCTAAAAAGGATTTTTATAGCATCCACAATACACATATTAAAAAAAAAAATTAAAATTGTTAAGTTACACTTTTCTATAAATGATAAAAATAAGTTATTGCTTGAAAAATAAGGGAAATTTTATTTCTAAAAAGGCATAAAATATATAAATAAAAATGTAATATTGTTTGAATAAATAAAAAATGATAGAATTATGTAAAATAAGTATATGACAAAAGAAATATTTACTCTTTTATTTGGAATTTCTTATTTCATAGAATAAATAACCTTGTTTCTCTGCTGAAAAGTGTTTACTACATTTTTGTTTATATAAAAACAGATTAAAAAAAAATGAAAATTAATACCTCTTGAGTGCTTGGGTCTCCGATAACCTGATGCTGAACTTGATAGCTTCTACGAGAGCGGCCGCGTCGTCAGCATGAGTCAGATACTTGGGGTAGATCAGTGGCTTCGAGAGAGGATCGTTGTTTCGCAAGCGCAGATAACCACGGCTCTTCGGATGCAGAATCGTCGGGATGATGTAGATGCTGCGGTTCGACCCCTTCTTCTCGCCCACCATACCGGTCTTCGCGCAATCGGCCAGGTAACCGCCGAAGATTAGCTGAACGTCGGGATGATCCTCCCTCGGATCTGCATACTTGGTGTTTATCATTGCTGTCACCTCGGATATTCCTACATTAACGCAATATTATAATAAGTGCCCCGTTTTTTTACAATTTGCCATTATTATATTAAAATTAATAACATTTTATCTCTCACGGTATTAAAAAAATGATACTTTCACCATTTATTATATTTAACGAATAATCGTCGAACTCGCAACTGTCAATAAATCAATTTGCAATTATTTTTTAGAAACGAATAATTTACGATTCTTGTAAATTCGATAAATCACTAATTGATGAATGACATTTATTGATGCGAATCTCGATTCGTAATTAATCACGCTTTCGGGGGCCAGTTTGAGAAATGTCGAATCGATCGAAATGCGATCAACGTCGTTTCTGCAATGCTTAACATTAATCCGAATCCGTTACCTTTACGTAATTCAATCGTTTGAATCGCGTAACTGCGGGCTGCATTCATCTAGAGAGCTACGCTATTATATGCAACGTTTTCCCCGGGGCGTTTCGTGCGAGTCAACGGGAAGGGCGAGAGACACGATTTTAACACGAAGGAGTTCAGCCCCCTCTACCCCTTCCCCGAAAGAAGCTCGTTAAGAACCAACTTGGCTCGGGGCTATCGATCGTGCCGAATATCTTAAAAACGCTCTGGGCTGTGACCGAGCCGAGTCTCGTGAAAGGGATACGTTGTTGTACACGGATACGGCGAAATATTCGTATGGATATTTCCTGAACAATTTACTCGATCCAATTCCCGACCGGCAAAATTATGCGCGCTCGCAATTTATTATTACTTCCAACGATGCCTATCTTTGATTATTAACGATCAAAAGAGGTTTCGCGAGTGGAGTGAGAAGTGGACGCTCCCCGCAATTGACGTTGCCTAATTGAGCCCATTAATTAAACGAACGCGCAAAAGACGGCCAATTTCGAACAAACTTTCTCGCATATACCTCCTTTCCTTATTGTTTATCGATCGACATAACACGAAGGCAAATGTGTACGTTCTATGACCCATACAACTTGTTTCACTGTTATTACTATGCAATTTAGTTATAATGAGAATATAAATGTAGATAATAATAATGACCATAAATGACGATCACTTTGGCAGATGAGTTGTTAATTTTAATTTATAGGATATTAATACACACACATAAATATCGGACATCATTGCTGATTTTTATAATTATGCTCGTTGTAAAATAGTTGTTAATATGTTGCTAATATTTTTACACATTCATTTCTTATCGAATTCATTGAATCATTGAATTGTAAAACAATGTCTGAGAGAGATGTAATTCAAATGTAGTCAATGATACATATTATATAGAAGGTATGCAAAATAGCGGCACGAGAAATCATCGGATAATTCACGTTAATGGATTGTAAAAGTAGAGTCACGATTGGGAGAGACGATGGACCGACTTTAAATCGGTCCGCGCAATTCGGATGACGTTAAATAGACCTGTCGACCGGGACAAGTCACGTAATCGCGGACCGACGAGAACGCGAACGTGACCATTGTGCAATATACTTTCACTGCTCGTGCACGAAACCCATGAATTACCATGCCCCGAGATGCGCAACATCTTCGACACGGTAAGCAGGAAGCGGGAGAAGCGGGTTGGATTACCTTAACACGATCACATTGCCCGATCAATGAAATCGCGAAGTCTAGAATCACAGTCGTTGCTTCATAAATAGGGATCGCGATCAGCGAATTTGTCGTGTCTACTTAGGATTACACAAAGAAAAAAATACTTGACATATACTTATGAGAGTTATATTTTTTTTTACTCCGTTTTATATATTTTTCTATCGCGATCGAATAAATATTTAAGACAGCCTTACCTGTACCGGACATCAAACCATCCCTGAATAATAGATATTCCATGGCGGTCGCCCAATTAAGAGGTGTAGTATCGGTATCATTAATGGTGAAGGTCAATGTGTAGGCGACGTGGTTGTGAAGATTCTTGCCGACACCCGGGAGATCGCGAACAACCGGTACACCCACCGCATTCAGCTCCTCTCGAGGTCCTATGCCGCTGTTTAAGAGGATTTGCGGCGAGTTTACGGCGCCTAAACAAACGCGACAGGTGTTGATTAATTTCAAAAATTTTAATAATATAATTTATGTTAAATAATCTAATTATTTTTTGTGTCGTTGGATAATATTTTGCAAACGTAGAAAAATAACATAAACGCATCCATTGTTCTAATTAAAAACTCATGAAATTAATTTATCGGATAAGAGTTTATAATTAATTTTTTACGCTTTAATTAATTATTTATTAATTTTTTAGGGACAAGATTTGATGGCATATATTGCATTGTACGTATCTCCTATCTCTTTAATATTATTGCTTTAATATTATTCCAGTTTCTCCGAGAACGTCATCGACGCGCGATTCGTATTGTTTAAGAGAAACCAAAGATGCGATTACGATCTTTTGAGACAAATTGCGAGAGAGGACGAGTAATTAAGACTGACACGTATGCTGTTTCCAAATATGGATTTCTATATCTCTATATACAACCTTCAACGTGAAGAGAAACGTATTCGGTTCTCTCCGGCTTTCCTTCATGTCGGAATTAGGATAAGTTGAGCAAGGAATCTCCCAAAGGGACGACTCCCTTCGCTTGAATAGAAACGTTCCATTGACGTGGAGCTGCTTGTTTGTTGATTAATCAGAGAATTAATTACCTCCGCTCACGACCACCTCCTTCGCCACCGAGACGCGTTGGGTCTTCCCGTCGTGGACGAACTCGACGCCAACCGCTCTGTTGTTCTCGTCGAAGAGAATTCTCATCACTGTCGAGTTCAGCATTATGTGGAGATTCGGACGATTCCGGGCAGGACGTAGGAAAGCCCGCGCCGTGGAAAGCCGCGAGCCATTTCTCGACGTGGTTTGAGCAATGGCAAATCCTGTGTGCGTCCGTCCATTCAGATCGACCGTGTCGTATCCTGGCAGACAGATAAGAATTTCCATTGAAAAATATATTATCTTTGAAAATTGTCAATTATTTTTTTATTTTTTAAGAAAAAAATATATAAAGATAGTTCTACTATATAATTTCATGCAATTGTATTGTTAATAAATTTTGATAGAAGCAAGATCTTTGCGAGAAAACTGATCGATTCAAGTAGACATACCTAATTCTTTTCCGGCCTCCAGGAGAGCAGAACTTAACGGCGGATGATAGGGAAACTGCATGACCGTGAGCGGTCCGCCGACACCGTGATAACCGTAATCCATATTGTTCACTTGTTGATTATCCTCGCTCCTTATAAAATACGGAAGGACATCGCGATAAGACCATCCGATATTACCGAGCTTGGCCCAATCATCATAATCTTTGCGCGATCCTCTCATATATGTCATTCCGTTCATGACGCTGGTACCACCGAGAACCTAAGTGATTTCATATTTTGCGTTTAATATGGACCTCGAAATAATATATATATAAAAAGATTTTGTATTAAATTATATATATATTATATAAATTATATTTAATACAAAATTATATTTAAATTATATTTAATGCGCTACGTACTTTCCCTCTAGGCCAATAACATTTTCTGCTCTCCTTGTTTAAGCAAGCTCCGTCCTCGCTCTCGGTAGAGTATTGCCAGTCAATATCGCTGCCGATGAAGTTAAAGAAAAACGAGGGTATCTGAGTGCCCGTCGGCTCGTCCAATCCAGCTTCCAGCAACAACACCGAGAATCTCGGTTCCTCCGATAATCTGGCCGCGACAGTCGCCCCCGCGCTACCGCCACCGATTACTACAAAGTCGTACCTTGAAGAAGAGAAATGATCGAATTTAAATTATATTGAATATTCGTTAAGACGGATAAAATAACAAAGTTTCAAAGAATATACACAGTTTTTGCATATTTCGCGAAATGTCGGTCCCTCTCCGCCTCACCTGACGTTTCGAAAGCAAGATTGTCGTGTCGCGGAAGATTACTCGGTTCCGACGCGATTTTGCGGCGCATGCACGTTTACGAAAGACATGTTAATCAGCGGAATCGTGTTATTAAGCGATCTCTTTACCGTACGACTTAGAAACCGGGTTAGAGGGGCAGCGAGTATTACCATCGTGTGGCGTAACGAGCATTTAAGTATATCCCTTTGCTTCCCTCGTATGTACACGCATCTGTCACATCCCTTTAAAATATGTGCAAACGAAGCAAGTTTGTCATTGAAATTAACGAACCACGCAACTCTAGCGCGCAAGTTAGATTACATTAAATTAAATTATTTTCTCTCGCGTAATAAATTTCCTTCTCCCCTTCATTAAGCGTGCAACAAAATTAATAATTAGGTCATAGTAATTAATAATATAATGAGCCATATATATATATACATCTTGATATTTAATTACGCTGGTAAATATATACTTTATTTTTTTTTTATTTTGCTGGGCTAATGAACGTTACATCATCAACGTTGGCAAATTTGATTGATTCTGCGTTCCATCGAGGCTCTATGCGTTAGGAGACAGTGCACCCTTTCCCTTCTAGCCTCTGTCGGCATCTCGGGCGAAAGGTGGATTTCTCAGGAGGTTGTTCGCGGGACGCGATCGTATATGTTCTCTCAGCTTTGAATGCCACGGCGTGCCCATATCCGCGTATACATGTGCACGGGACAATGACATACTTTTACGAGCGAAACTCGATAGAAGGATGTATAGAATTCTATGGAGCGTCTTGACGGTCCATTACTCTTTTCTCATCAGCTGATATACAGCTTCGGATCGATCGGACTCGATCTTTCCCTTATAATTGCGTGTATCTTTTAAATTACATACGGTGGAAGATAAAAGTTTCCCCTGGAATTGAAGAATGCAAATGACACGACCTTATTTTTTAAAATTTATTTTAATTTCGAATTCGATCAAATCAACTTTCTCATGTTGGAAAAGAAGAATTTTTAAAAAGACGAGATAATCATCTTTCTCGCGTATTCAAAGAAACTATGGCTGAAAGGAAAGGTAATCCTTTTGTGTGGGAGATTGGAATTACGGAATCGAGGGAGAAATTAATCCCCTCGCGTATCGCTAACGAATAATCCAGTCAAGAGAAACGCGAGAAATTCATGTTTAATTATTGGTCTAGCAATAATTGCAACAACGTTTGACGTTGATGAGATAATTCGTAATAATTCTTAACCATGTGTACTCGACCAGAGTGCATGTATCGTTATGCTTCGTATGTCGGATTACTGTCAAAGTGCGCGCTTGATAGAGATTTAGTGGTAGTTATTCGAACGAGTAGTGATTATTAAAAGATATTGCGAGATTATTTTCTCTTCTTTTTTATTTTAAACTTTTTATTCGTCAACAAGCGAATATCCTCACATTTTTCGCGCCTTTAATAAAAGATGTATACTTTACGTCTTATATTTTACTTTATTTCATTAGATAGAAATCTCATAATTATAGATTCTATTGGAAAAATTATACTCTCTTGAATATCCTGATATATTAAACTCCTTAATGTGAAATGTGATGCAAATAAAATGTTACATTAGTTTATCTTTATCGCTACCACTTTTAACTTTAATTCTTAAAAATTACGAGATGCTTAAGAGAACGTATAAATAAACAGTGTTTCTCATATGTACATGTATATTTATCAAAATGCCAAGTGACTCAGGCCCGTTTAATCGCTGACGGCAACCGTATGTAAAGATAGATCGAGAGTCACGAACGCTTAATTGAAAAGCCGTAATCAAACCTGTTTTCATCTTCGCTAAACGAGTTTTTGTACGCATAGGTAGGCCTTGCGTTCCATACTTCTGTTTTTTTTTCTTTTTGGTAAAACCATCGCAGTTTAATACGTTTCTCGCGCGTGATACGACAATAAATGCGAAACATATTAAATGACGAAACATAATTAAAAAAAAATTTAGTTCTATCATTTGAATGTAAAAATTACGAGGGATGTATATATGGAAGGCTAAAAAATATATATCGATAAAAAGGGAATACTTTGAAGAGAAAACCTTGTACATTCGATTAAAAACGTACGCAGGTTGATCAAATTTTATTTCTCTCGCGTATGTCTTGTATTTTATCTTTATGTTTTTATATTTTCTCTCATTAGAGAAATTGCAGCGGCGCGTTTTCGAGAAGCTTTCCGTATATAAAAGTTGCTCCTTTCGCGTGTCAGCGCATGCGATGGTACGCGTCGATGCGACGACCAGATGTGACGCAACAAGAGACGCATTGGAACAATGGCCCGCGGTATTACGTACATACGTGCGTACATACAACGATTTCACAGGATAGAGACGTGCATGGATGCTCATTTCCGAGTGACGAGGTAAAGAAGAGAGGAGCACCAGACTCCGGTTTCCTACGATATTACGTGAACGACCATGTGTGCCCGTATGTACAGACCGTATTTAGGATTCGGCGTGGAATGAGAGCTTCCCGCGGATGCGTTCTTCGCTCTAGCGTATCGCGGAAGAAATCTCTCTCGTCGATAAGTGTCAGGAGATCCCAGGAGAATCGTAAAAGAGACGACATGTCATTATCTTCAATGTACACAATGCATCGTAGCCTTACATTTGCGCGAGATAAGAATACTTGGTCGATTCACCCTCGTATCTCTCGACCTCGGTGAAGTAATTAGACAATACGAAACAAGGAAACACTACCTTGCGAGTTTCTAAATCCGTCATGTTATCCGGGTAATCGTAGATAACTGTGATAGCAGCGGGCAAATTGACAGCAGCGGATATACACGTAATTTAACGAGTTGATTCGTGAATTTTTTCAACGGACGACGGTCGAGGGATTAAATTTAGATTAACATCTAATTTTAGACGAGTCTCATTTCATTAGAAAAGCGCGCGCATGATTGCCACATACATATTACATTAACAATGTATTATTATATATCTCTCATGTCTCGACGCGTGAGTATACTCGTTATCGCGCAATCGCCAAAAGAAATAGCCTTAAGGTGGGGTGGGGTTCTCGATCGATTCTCTTTCTCATTTACCCGTGACCTATTTATTCGATTTCAACAATCACTTCGTTCATATGATGGCCTCCTTATTAGTCACATTACTTACCTCGCATTGGCATTGTTCCGCGTTGCAGGTCTGTTACACGGGTCCTCCAGATCACACTGGCTGCGTAAAAATACCTCGAGCAATCCCATGAAGAGCATAAAGGATGTTCCGCCGCATGTTGAGGCTAATGTGGGTCCTATGGTCGGAGTTAATGGGCAGTTGCAACTCATCTGAAATATAAACCATTTATTGTTTTCTTGTGTACAAGTGACGATTTCATAGAGAAATTAATTTTGTTGCGTATCTCGCTTTAAAGTAACGCGAATCACTTTGATGGGTGATTTAATTGCAATTTTTTCAAATATAATTTTTTTTAAATGCATTAATAGATATTGATAAGAAAAGAAATATTTATCAAATCATTAAGAATTTTAATTCCGACGAACGCATTTTACTTGCGGATGCTTTTGGCAGCACTAGATCTTAAATGTTTGATTATTCGCAGTTCACACGCGTATATTATTTTATTTACGTAAAATATATTCGATAATTATAGAATTAAAATAATTAATAATTTTTATTCGAGTTAGCGATAATTATTCAGTGTTAACGATTATTGGCACATTCTTCTTCTATTATCAGTTTCAATGTTTCGAATAGTTCGAATACGTAGCTGTTAACTTGAATATGCAGTGAGGATAATATTTCTCCATTCAGCGAAGAAGTTAAAGCATATAAACAATATTTCTCGAACAGTCATGCACCGGTGCATCCACTTCGACGAAACCGTTTATCTTCGATCCAGCCGACTATGAAGCAAGCTTCGCTCCGAAATGGAAAACAAAAACTTGAACAAGAGTGAGAGTGCGCATACCTGGCCGTCGTCGTCGTCGTCGTCGTAACGAACGTGTAATGGCCCCGTAATAGAGTATGTTCAGTTGTAAATTCATTCAGGTCTATTGGCACGATTCAAAACGAACGTGAGCGATTCCTCGCGATGCACGTGCTTTCTATAACGCAACCGCTGCGTCCCTTGAATGCACGCTCTCTATGTGTGTGTGTACCGGTGAAACTCTTTTTTTTACACCGCTTTTGTTTCCTCTTCCGACATTTCTCACAGTCGGATGCATAATCGCGTGAGGCGTAACGGGCCGAATATCTGCGAGAATGAAGCGTGACGATGTACGGATACACGCGGATGCTCCAATTTTCGGCGAAGAAAAGATGAGAGATTTTTGCGTGAAAAAAGAAACTGCAATATTTTCCTTTTATTGAAAAAAAAAAGGGTTTAAGTATCAAGATCGATAGCACTGTAAATATACTTTAACGGTCGCGATAAGATTTATGACGTTCGAAAGATATGCAAGCTTATGCATCTTGCTATGCAGCAAATGACATATTTATTATATTTTAAAAAAATACACTTATGCTCTTTTTTAAATTCATGAGCTTGTAACTAAAGATTCATACTTTACTCAAGAAAGAAAGTAACGAAAAATAATTAATTGATTCAAAGAAAATAAGTTTTTTTTGTCAAGATTAATAAATTATTCCTCCCTCTTTTTTCGAGTTTGCGACAATTTAATCGATTTCTTAATGAGACGCAATCTTTATCAGAAACTAGATCCAAAGTGGATCTTATATGACATAACACGATGAAGAGGTAAGGAAACACAGAAAAAGAAGGTGTAAAATAGCATGACTTTCGTAATCGATGGCGAGACACGCGGTTCTCGGTCAGTGAACGTAACGGTGTTGAGATTGAAGGAGCGTACACATTCGCGAGAAGCGTGTAACCGCAGGCGAATATTCGCGCTTCTGCGATTATACTAAAGTATCGTAAAGTATCAACCGCAGTAGCTAAAGGTAATAAACAAAGTTTGACGATCAAAGTTCGCAAAAAGAGGAAGCTGATTTTACGATTTATTTACAGTGAGAGAAATCAAAATATTAAAAAAAAAAAAATTGACGCCAGTGAGTTTATAGATGTTTTATACATATGTTTGTAAGAAGTTTTCCTCTTTTTCCGAAGAATCACAGTATAATTTCGTAATATAAGATTTTCAACAAGATACACAGATCCAGACATTTGATCAGACTTTTATTTATTACATACGCGACGCGAGATGTTAATAGGTTTCTCGATTAATTCGTGCAGCGTCCTAGTTCGCTTGGATATCTTTCGCCCGAAATGGAAAATCGCAGTGTAGAAGGCATTTTCGATTATCTGGAGTAATGGAAATATAGTTTTGCGCAACTTTATCGTCATTCGTGCGTTGATCACTGAGAAATTGCTCATTCGTCGCAATTCAAGCAATTCTAAAACACATCTCGTTTCCCATTTTACGCGAATTATCGCGATATTCAAATGTACAATAACAATACAAGTCTCTCTCTCTTTTCTTTCAGAACTTGTAATTGAATTTTGAGGACTGTCATCGGTTTAATTTCTTTAAGATTTATAAAAATTTTCATCTCCGAAATTGAAATGAACAATTTGTGCAGTCGTAATGTTATATTTATGATTCATACGCTGCAGTTTTCTTTGACGTGAGATTATGTTTTAATGAGATCTTGCATGTATGTTGAGTGACATTTTATATTTTTAATTATTATCTTTTGAAATGTGTTACACGCGATGTCGTGCCACATGTAAATCACGCGAATCACGTAAGCCTTGTAACAGTTTACAGATCGATCGCTGTAATGATTGTTTGCACGGAAATGTTATTTAGTACACGAGGGTGTTTATCGGAATTTATGTAACTTGAAAAAACTTATTACCGGCATCTTTAACAAGGCAATATTATCGCAAAGTATCATTTCCCGCAAAATTGCTCGATTCGTCGGCACGCTTCTCGATTCTCGGGCGCGAAAATGTAGATATTACACGCCACGTTACATGTTTCCTCAACATGCTTTTCCGCGTCAGTTTCTTCCATTTCGTTATTCTCATTTGTATCACACATATATATCATATATATGTATATTTTACATTTCGGCGGATATCCTCGATGTTATGGAGTTTTTAAGTATGACATTACGCAATATATGATTACGATGGTCTCAATTGACATGTTTAACTCTCTCTCTTTCACTTTTCAGGATAATTTTAATTTTTATATAATTACTTTTTTCAAAATAAACTGACAAATTTCACTGCCATTCAATATAAGACAGAAGGCTATTTTCTTCTACATACATATACATGTATATCTGCTTGATTGCTTTTTGATGAATGTCATTGTAAGAATATTGTAAGATATTTAAAGCCCGTATTGTGAACGATTGTGCATCGTGGAATGTTTTTTTTCTCTAAAAAGCTTTATTCGTTTTGTTGGATAATTTATCATTTCCACATTTACACATGTTACGACATACACAATTATAACTTTTTTTTTACAATATTTCATTATTAATCACACATTTAAAAATTATAATAAAATTTACATTTTATACCGATAAATAAAAATATGAAAGAGAGATGTTTAGTTTATTATTTAAGAATTATTAAAGGAAAATATCAATAGAGTACTTACTGTCAATATTATCGCTACTGCATTTCGTGCATAACTTTTATATAATTTTCTGATATAATCTTTAAAAATACGATTTTTTTTATCTTTCAAGAATCCCGGGAGTATATCTTGCCGATAAACTTGAGAGACAAGTTATATTGCATATTTGACGAGAGGAAAAGACACAGTATGTAATACGACGGTTGTAACTTTTCAAGGGAAAGGTGGATTGATCGCTTAATGCCAAGGTATACTCTAGTAAATTAATCCACACAACCCGACAATGATTCGTAGCCGCCTTTATTCGAAAGGACTTTATAGTTAATTAAAATATATTGTGACCCATTTTGCAATAGCAGAAACATATCGAGCATATAAGTTCATATTAAGTACATAAACGCGATTTAAATATGCATTCATTTTATCATCAGTATAAATATTGCAACTGAGATATTTTATTCATTTTATGATCAGCATAAATATCAATAGCAAATCTGCATAATATCTATACAAATACATATATTATAATAAAAAAACAAATATGAATATCACGTTCCTCTCTTCGATCGTCAGACGCTCGTCGACTGACTTATTATCAGAAATTTTTACACTTCTTGCATGTATATTAAATGAGAGAAAATAATTGTATAATTGAAATAATTAAATAATTATATTGTCAATAAGTTAAATTATATTTACTTGGAAGAATTTTCAATTTTTTGTCATAAAGAATTTTTTCTATCTTCCGATAAATATTAATTAAAATTGACGAGTTCTCTATATCTTTTCTTGAATATAATAATACCATAAAAAATAAAAATAATTGACTAATTAATCTTTATTAATAATTAATGCGAATAATATTCATAAAGATGTAGCTCACGCGCATCGATCGTTTTCGGTTTCATGGACGTGAAATATCATTTTCTATAGCATCGAAATCTCGACCTGTTTACAAAATATACTGGTTTTTCGAGACAGCTAGTGCATGACGCGAATAAAAAAAAAGACTTACCTTTCAAGGATGGTCACCCTGTATCCTTCGAAAGATAATTGCTCGACTGGAGAACCCGCAGAACACACAGAGCGCGGAAAGGATGCGACGAGAGATAGAGAACTGGTAGCTCGCGGTACCGCGATCAACGGCCGACTAGACTGGTACCATTCCCCATCGCCGTGGTAATATTCGACAACTTCCACCACTTTCCTGCCCCGTCTCTCTTCTGCTTCGTAGAAACTTGTAAAAGCAGTTTCGGAAACTTACGTGGTGATGCGACTTAATTCAATCACGAGGAGATTTCATGGTGACGAGCGGTGAAAACGAGAGGCAATAATTAAATGATTAAATACTCTTAAAGATGTTTTGCCGAGGGAATTACTCGGTATGTATTATTATTTTAACAAGCTTACATATTGTCATTATTCTAAAAGGGAGAAATATCTATTAAATTGATACAATATAGAGAGGATAAAAATCGAAATATTCAATGAAAGATATAAATCTAAAATCTCAATTCAATTAACTCGTTTATAACGCGATTAGAACGTAATAAAAATATCTTATGGTATACATTTATTCTCTCGCGAACAATGGCTACTAAGATTACTATCGTTCTTCAAAATGCGTAAAATATTTCGCTATCATTGTATTATATTTACTGACCGTATCTCCGGGTTGATAACCATGGAAGAATTTTGGCCTTTACAGAAACGATCTTGCTCCGGGGAAAGGAAGAGGAAATACAACGATATAAAGAGGCAATAAAAAGCATTCATGCGCTCAAACAGAACGAAATCGTTTCCCATCACGATCCCGTCATTTCGATACTGCTGGTCGTGACTTTAATATTTGTTATAATATGCTTGATCGTCATTATTATTATAAGCATAATAAGGAGATGTCTCTTGTAAGAGGATGTCATTATTGTACGTTCGTTTCCTTGTCTACCTTATCGAGCGGAAACGTGAACGGAATATCCGACTGAAACCAAAATTAGGAACGAGGTTTGCATCTTTTGCAAGTCATGCGGAACGAGATAAAAATTTTGAATTGTCATTTGCCATATGCGAAGCATACCTGATTCTCCTCCTCGTTCAACGAATCGTTCAAAATCTTATTTAGAGGAGATTCTTCATATTCTGATTTGTCGATGTCGTCAACGGATATTGTGTCGTAAGGATAGTTTGCAAGGCCATAAAGTTTCTCGTCTCGAAAACTGTGATCACTTTGTCCCGTTGTAATAGATGGATTGAACGTAGCATTATTATTGTCCACGAATCGTGTTACAGAAATTCGACTCCTATTTTCGTCGCCAATTTGATTTTTCGCAAAAGTTTCTATGTCAGCCGCCGTATAATTTCGATCTGTATAAATATCAATTATATATCGTTAAAATTTGTACATAATTTTAACAGCAAATTTACTTTCGAATTAAATCGGTAAGTTTTCATTATCAAAGATCTTTGACGATATCGAATAATCGCGGTTAAATCATTCTCGTCTCAGGTAGTTTCTTTGTATTATTTCGTTCAGGCATTATATGCGACATAATGTAAGATTGTCAGAATTATTCTTACACGAATGATCTATTGCAGAATTAACGACGCTTGATTTGAATTCTTGTTTGTGCGTTGATTGCGACTCATACCGATTTAGATAATCGTAAATCATAAACCGCAATCGCTGCTCATAGTCCTGTATGGTTCGAATATGATGGAATAAATCATTAACATGTCAATTTTCTATCTTTACGGAAAATACAATAAATTTTTAATCCCTTGAAGCGTACTCACGTCATAATAATTGTCCGATTCTTTATGAATATTTGATGAAATAGTATTTGTCTTTTCCTTTGCAGGAAAACTCGTATAATAACTAGACGAATCATTGATATATTTACCAAACTTGTTATCCACAATTGTCGAGATATTATCCTTTGAAGCCGTTGTATCTGAAACAGATTGTATTTCCATACTTTTTCTCAAAATACGCTTTCCTTTATATAAAAAAAGTTGAAGGTAAAAAAATAGGGTTCAAAATAATCCATTATTTAAATAATTCAAATAAATTCCTATCCTCGAATGACTCAAATATTTCAACTCGAATTTGTAAATTTTTATTATCGTAGCTGTTTCTTAATCCTTAGTTAACGTGAATACCTATAAATGTTATTTCTGGCAAAAATATTAAAGCTGTTGCCTCGTTGAAAGAACGATCGAATGCGTTAGTAAAAAACGGAAAGAGTTGTCCTCGTCCTCTTGTCACCGGCGCGTACGGCGGCAATAAGATCCTATACGGTTCCTGTGGTTCCCATGCGTCGTCATCCTCGTCCTCTATCTCCGATGATATCGGATCGTTCTTTATCCAGATTGAATAATTTTGTCCGACAAAGTTAATGTCTTCAAACATGCCTTCAAACACCATGGGAAGCGGCAACGCGTCGTTGCTCGCTACGTAGATCTTCTTCGGCATCTCTAATCTTTTCGTGTCACGCGACGTAGTTAACTCAATCTTTTCTTCGACAGGCAAACTTGGCGGAAAAGTTGCATTGTTCGACAAGTCAGCGAGTTTAGAAGTAATCTAGAAAAATTATTAAATTTCGATGTTTCTATGTTCTATATTTTTCAAAAAAGCAATATTTATTACAAATTACCTCGATAACTTCGGTGGAATTGTTCGTCGATAATTTATTGTAATTCCACCAAGATTGAGAATAAGGCAGCGTCAAATCTGGTTGGTTTGTCGATGACTTGAATGATTTCGTGATTAGATTTCTCGTAGTTGCGGCTTGCCGATGAGTCAATGAAATTTCCGTGTCAAGTTTTCTGTGTAAAGAATGCAATAAAGTCGCAAGTAATTTGCAAAATAAATTTATACTCGTATCTATAAAATACTGATTTATGCGGAAAATATTCGTGATCAACTTACGTGAATGTCGTATGGTGTAGACTTGATCTTTGCGTTGAAATCGTCAAAGTTGGCTGAAAACATAAACGAATTTTTTAATTTTGGCCCTTAAACATTCTCGAGGTCTTTAACTCGTATGTAAAAAAAGTATTTTCTACCTTTTCCCCTGTAATTGGATAACTCGTCTGTAAATTCATTTTTTTCTCCTGTTCTTGACGAATCAGCTCGCTTTCCATTTGTGCCAAAGTTTTTCTGGCCGGGGGTTGCTCGACGACCTACACACACACACACACACATTTGTTTCTATCAAAATCTATTTTTAGATATTTTTAGTGATTTCGCGTCGAATGTACTGATTGTGGTCAGAATTCAAGAGAGGACTAAATTAAGTTGATATTGAAACGGAAATATTTTTTGTTTGTATTTTTGGTCCTCGGAATTAAACAGTAAATCTCATGCGCACATTTTGCACAAACGCTAAAGTTTGTGAAATAAATTACCTTGTCATTCGCGCCGTGTTGGACAGACGAGATCATAATTGTACGACATGATCTCTCGATGGTACAGTTAAAACCTTTGCAAGAACCTATAATTCGTACTACGCATTTTTGCGATCGTGGGCAAATCCAGCCGTGGCAGTACTTGCTGATTAGCACGTCTTCTACGAGTAAAAAAATCATCAAATCATTACATATATATATATATATAATATATATATTATTTTAAATGAGCGAATGCGCAGAGTTTTTCATCCCAAACAGACCGACGGTAAGCGTGCAATCAGGTATATGCGAGCACCATGAATCAAAACATGATCGCCGTAAGAAACACTCGTATTCCGAGGTGCAGTTCAAACTTCTACATTCGTCGAACCAAGTCTGCACATCTGCGAATAATTTGTTTTTATTATGCATCAATATATATTTTGCGAACGAGTATTTTGATCAAATATGTTAACGCGCAACAACTTCAAACGCATAATAAATTTATGAAAATATTAATGAGACTAAATCAAATCTTATTCAGCATTTGTTGATGGACCTGCTAGCTCCGCGCAGCTTCTGATAAGCTTGCAGGGTGGATTGATGCAATGGGTTTCCCGTAAGATGCAACGTTTTCCAGAAGGACACTCGAAACCGGCGCAAAAAGCTGCACCCTCGTAATATTCCTTCTCCGATATACAGCGAGCTATTTGTTGCTTGCATCCTGAAAAAAAGTTCAGTTTTAATTAGTACATTATCTATATTTCTAAGAAAATATAAATATAATTTGGCACCTGTATCCCAATGGCATTCTCTAACTTTAACAATGCATACGTGTCCTCTGCTGCAGCGAACAGTGTCGCACGTTAGAGGTCCTTTCAATGATTCTAAAAGTGAATAAAATTGCATCACAAACATTTACATTTACACAGGTTGCGTAATAATAACTATATAATTAATTTCGAAAATTTTAAATGGAGTAAATGTAAAAGGAAAGCCAACCGAGCTTTAGAAAGATTACCAAAAGATATCAATATAAAAATAGGATAAGAAAATATACATTTCGGACAAGAGAAGATTCTTTTGAGATTTACCTTTTCTGGACTTGGAACAGTACAACATTCCGGGACAAGGTGAATCTTTGCACCAAAACCTCCGTTTAATGCATTGACTGCCGTTCTCGCAACGTAGATGAGCGCATCCTTTCGAATACTCATCTCCCGATTCTTCTGCTACAATTTTTTAGATTTAAAGCACATATACATATATAAAATTTTATAGAATTTGAAATTATATATAAACTCACCTTTTATATAAAGACTTTCGAAATGTACAAGGAAAAAGAACCAAGTTAAATGGCCGATAAAAATGTACTCACGTCTCATGATGATAGTGACGATTAAACTTCGTTTATTTCAATGCGTGGTGCACCTGTGCCTATGTAGTTATAGATGTAATAGCATGTAATATAAACGCGATTGTAACGAGAGCCATCGCGTAGGAAAGCATATTGTGTCAATACAGTAGTTATCGTTAACATTATATCTGTCGTTGAAATTGTCATTAAAAAGATTGAAAAGAAAAAATAACTTGAAAGAATATGCATAAAATAAGTCTTGCTTTTCGCATATCGGAAAATTTTGGCATTTATAAAAAGTTTTGCGTTTCTTTTATCAAGTTATATGCTTTTATCATGTAAGACATGTATTAATAAATATTTTAAAATTTTTCATTTAATAATATCTCATATTTTTAATACGTTTTATTAAAGGAAACTGTACAGTTTAATTATACTAGAACACTATAAGCGCGCGCGCCATTTATTTTATGTGTATGTGTGTATAATTATTTACACATATTAACTCTAGTTCTCCGTTTTTTCAAAATGAATTAAATAAAAATTACACATTTATTTAATATTTGAACTGTCAAATACGTTGCTCATGACAGTTATGACAGGCTTTTATTGATATAAAGTAATGCACAGCGCAGCGTCGAAATAATCAATCAGCATCACAGAAAAGAGGTAACAATATTTGCGAGTATCAATTTAATACATCTTTTTAAAATTGGATATTTCAATGAGAGCTGCTCACGACATATTATTAGAATATTATATGTGTGTATGTGTTATATATAAAATATTATAAAATGCGCCATTTAGTTTTTATAAATAATAATAGACAAAAATGATTAAAAAATCACGATATCTATTGCAATATCGAAGCGTAAGAATATTATATATATATATATATATATATATATATATGTCGTAGTACTTGAAATATTTCGGCAGCGAATTAACAATAACATAGTATTTACCTTGGCGGCGCGGCGTAAACATAACGATAAGCTCCGTGATAGATTAATTGTTTCAATAAATAATTGATCTATAATTTGAAATACTTATATAATTTAATATTTCGCATATTTTATAGTAAAATATTTCGGTAGCAAATTAAGACAATATCTAACATGGTATTTGGCAGCGTAAACATTGACGCGCGTAAACATTGTTTATGTATTACGGCTTTGTTATTATTTATACAAAGGCACTTAAATAGAACTATAGTGGGGCGAGACGCTCAAATTCCTTTCTTACGTGTTATCATTCGCGCGGCGATACTCGAGCAATAAAGTAGCAGTGCGTCGTCGGTGCCGTCATCGTGCCGCGGACGGCTTTCGCGTCTTCCGCATCGCGTGTCAACACAGCATTGCCACGAGTCGCACAATGGCTCATATGTGGCACGCGCATTTGTGCGTTGAACGCACATTAGTGCGTCGTCGTTGCCGTCATCGTGCCGTACGAGCAACGATGCGTCGCGTTGTCGCGGTATCGCGTTTTCGCGTCGTCGCGTCT